ATGCCTTTCTGAGTACCATGATGAAATTTTGCTCTGTCCCACCTGTGATGTTAATCACCCGTTGGTCCAGAGTATCCGCACCATACAATCTACCCAATACCTGCCCCTTAGTCACTTTGTTGCCTTCTCAGATATCACATCAATTGTCATATTATTTCCATCTTTGTGTACAAGTGACATCTATTTTACTTAAGGATGGCCCTAAAGCCTTTCATGTAACTTTTGTGGCAGTATATTGTTATAACCGTTCTATTTTATTATTATGTTTGTTAATCTTTTAACTGTGCCTACTTTATAAATTAAACTTTATCTTAGGTATGAATGTATAAGGAAAAACATAGTCTATATGAACAGTTTAGTACTATCTGCAAGCTCAGGCATCCACTGGCACGTCAGAGAACATATCCCCTATAGATAAGGGGAACTACTGTGTTTTTGGGTTAGGATATAACATGAGAATATTAAAAATACTACTGTATGCCTTGAGTTGTGTGGCTCACTTGGTCGGGCATCATTCCACAAAGCACAAGGTTGCTGGTTCAATTCCTGATTAGGGCACATGCCTGGCTCGTGGGTTCTGTCCCCGGTCTGGGCGCCTGTGAAAGGCAACCAATTGATGTTTCTCCCTCACATCAATGTTTCTCTCCTTCTCATTCTCCCTTCCTTCCCCTCTCTCTAAAAGAATAAATAAATAAAATCCTTTTAAAAATTTAAAAAATAATACCATATAAGAGCCATGGGTTTGGACAGAGAAAATCCAATTCATGGAATTATTAAAGAGGAGGGAGTAACTATGCACACAGGGAGAGAAGTAGGGCAGGGCTCTTGAAAATTTGCTCTGCTGATCCTCCATTTAATGGAGTTAATGGGGTGAGGTTTCAGAAAATCTTAAAAATTAAGAAATTTAAGTAATTTAAATTAAGAAATGAAAAAATGAATAAATATGGAGGCTTAAATAAATATATGGGAATTAAAGGAATCTTCAGTCTTCAAAAAGATTCCCAATATTTCATACAAAACTTGAAAGTAAATCCGTTATTGGGCAATAACCCCAGCATGGTACAGTTGAAAAACATAAAAATTATCTAAGGAATTCAGTCAAAACCCTTGGTTTTATATGAATTATTTGAATAATTGAGGTGAAAGTAGAATTTCAGCCTGAATTATTCACATAATTGCCTTATTTCTAAACTTCACTTGGCTGTTAGGGACCTTTCTTCAGGATGTATTTTTAGAATGCTAAATGCTAAAAAGTAGATTCCTGCATTAAGCAGAGCAATGCGGGTGGGGGGACAGAGAAACAGTAAATAGTTGATTGTCAGAATAAGGCTATACTTTTCTTTCTAGTGACAATAACCCACATCCACCTTTTATCACAGAAAGAACTTCTATGATGCAAGAGGAAACTACATATGAATTTCAAATATAACCTGTAGTATTTTTTAAAGTTATAAATTCCTTTTTAAGTTTTAATTCTCTAAAATTTGGAAATGTAATAGCTCCAAATTCAGCCATTTAATTTTATTAAGCTGAGCCAAGCACCTTAAAAATGATACTATACTTTCTGTTTGATTTCATATTTTGGTCTTTGGTTCTAATTTTTAAAAATTTTTATTTTTCAATTACAATTGACATACAATGTTATATTAATTTTAGGTGTACAACAAAGTGATTAGACATTTATGTCGCTTAGTGAGTGATCACTCTAAGAAGTGTACTACTCATCTGACACCATACATAGACATAGTTATTACAATATTATTAACTATATTCCCTGTGCTCTACTTTACATCTCCATGACTATTTTTATAACCAGCAATTTGTACTTTTTAATCTCTTCACCTTTTTCATCTATCTCCCTGATGCCCCTCCCATTTGGCAACCACCAATTTGTTTTCTCTGTATCCATAAATTTATTTTGTTTGCTTGTTTATTTTGCTTTTTAGTGAAATCATGCGATATTTTTCTTTGTCTGAAATATTATTTAGCATAATACCTGCTGGGTCCATCTGTGTTGTTGCAAATGGCAAGATTTCATTCTTTTTAATGGGTGAGTGATATTCCATTGTATATATGTACCACAAATGCAAAGAGAAAAGAATGATCACATTTTATTTGCCACTAGAGTCTCTTGTTTGGAGGTAGAACTCTGGTCAGTGAGCCAAAATGAAAAGAAAGTTACTTGTCAACCTTCCCTACAGCTGGGTGTGTCATGTGACTAAGTTCTGACTCATGGGTGGAAGTGTTGTGTGAGAATTCTGGATCCAATCCTTCTTTCCTGGACTCCAATGTTGACGAGATACCCAGATCTCCAGCAGCCATCTTGGACCATTGGGAAAACTTAAGAGTAGAAGCCTCACACTAGGATGGCGTAAGATTAAGACAGAAAGAATCAGTCTCGATGACTGCAGAGCTACCATTTCTGCTCTGGGATGCCTCCCTCTGCTCTGCTTTTTCTCAAGAAAGCAATAACTTCTATCTTGTTTCGGTCACTAGTCCCTGTTACTAGCAGATGAACACAATTCCTAAATGATATACATGTTAATTGAAAATATTTGGGGATTTAGGATTAAATTTCTAGACCTGTATAACAGCTCCTCTCTCTCTCTCTCTCTCTCTCTCTCTCTCTCATGCACACACTTCAATTTGTAAGACAAAACTAAGTGGTTATGTGAAGTTTTATTATTAACACATTTTGTGTGATTGGAAAGGATGACATTTGTAATGGGAACTGTAAGAAGACAAAAGCTAAAGCATTATGCAATTATTTTATGGTATGTATATATGGACTTAAAAAGTAAAGGAAAAAAGGAAACTGTAGAAATGGAATATAGTAATAAAAAGTTAATAAGAATTTTTTCACAGATTTAGCTAAGATAAGGGCAATTTTAATAGCAAAAGAGGGAGGAAAGATCACTCTATAGAGCACTCAGATGGAGTGATAAGGTTTAATCATTTTCTCTTCAGAAGCTGCCCCCAATTCTTTTTGTCTTTTAAGATCCAGCTCCTCTGTGAAGCTCTCCTGGATCTTCCTTTAGGAATTAACTTCTGCTCTTTTTGCATTTATAGAATCAGGACCAAGGTACAGTGAGTAAGATATAGTGAATAAGGCATTTGTCTAAGGTGCAGAATTTTAAAGGTGACTAAAGAACTTAATAATCAAGACAAATATTTTAATGGAATATTTTAATTACCACAATACAGTATGTAGGCAGGTCTCGTGTTTTTGTAAATAAATTTTTAATTATACTTTGCTTTAATTTTTATAACTGAACTCGAACAGTGCTTTTTATAAACATCCTCTCTCAACAAGTCCACATTCATTTTTGTATTCTTCATGCTACTATCACTCTGTTTTAAGCATAAAGGCCTCCTAAAATATTAAATTGGATCTACTGAAGGAATTTTCAAGAATATACTAGGGACTCCAGGGTTACGTTTTCATCATTAAATTCAACTATAACAAAAGAGCAACAGAGAATGATGAATGTTTTGAACATACTTATAATTCAGTTCTTAGGAATATTACTTGACTACTGTATGACTAAAACCCTGACCAGTCTGGAGAAATAGAGGATTGTAAAACTACTTTACATTCATATAGTACTTCACCCTACATAAACTGCTTTCTTTTAATCCTCATCTCAGTCCTGCAAGGTAAGTATTATTATTCCTATTTATTATGGAGACAATGAGAGGTTAAGTGACTTGCCCAAAGAGTTACAAGCAGAAAGTGGCAGAGCTGGGGTTCTAACCCAGGTTTCTGTGTCAAAATCCCATTCCCTTCTTCTTTGAACACTAAGTTTTAGGATTGACTGACACCTTAAGCAGCAATATTTTACCAAGTGCACTCATTAGTGATTAAAATTGTTCTGATTTTTATGTGTGCATGTTTGATGACATAAATTAACTCTTCTAGCATAATGTTTTATGCTAGAATCATAAATCAAATGTTTTATGATTAAGTGCAGAGAACTACATATTGAAATATCAAAGAACAGGGGAAATTATGTAATACTTGAGTATGTTTCTAACTACTACTTTACCACTAATGTGTGTGAAATTCTGCAAAGTATGTAAATCATACAAGTTTGCTTCTTTATGAAAACAAATGTTTGGGAAGGTCTTTGAACTTTTCAGCTGGAAAAGGTTACTCAATGAGAAATTAAAGTACTGAAGAGTTAGGAGTTAAGCTTAATAGGTTTCTTTTTCATATTTAGGGGAAAAACATCTATGACTACATTTTAAAACTCCATATGGTAATTAAATTTGTTTGAGCCTATAACTGCTTAAAATATAATTTCCATTAGTATATAATAAACACATAACCCAAAACCAAAATATATATTATTAGCCAATCTAGATTTCTTATAAAAATTGTTCTCTCTATTGATTGCTGTCCAGAGAATTGAAAAACCTGTCTTCTTTTTACAAATTTATAGCTGTGTTCCAAAGAAAATCTCATTGTTAAGAAGAACCAGAACGCACAAGAAATTCAAAGCCATTTATTTTGGAGAATTGAAACCAGTCATTAATTACTATTTATTGTATATCCACAGGGTGCCTAAGCATTAAAGTGCCAAGTGCTTTATCTGCATTATTCCGAGGATTTCTAAGGGGACTCAAGATTTGCAGATGTCTTTTAAAGATGCAAAGTGGTGTGCGCTTCTCTAATTTAAACAGGTCCCACTTGAAATGAAGTGAATAGTACGAATTGAACGGAGCTCTAGAGGTTTCTAATCCCAGAACCGACTTTTGAGCGAAGACCCCACTGGGTGCCAAGAGACAGGCCGACTGGTGGGCAGAACAGGGCCCTACCAGGGGCTTCTGGACAAGGCAAGTCCTCCCCAGCCTGGTGGCAGGGCCGACTGCAGCAATGGCGTCCCTAACCTGCTACCCCATCCCTGCCCTTCCCCCACCCCGCACACCCACCCCCCATCCCCGGCTCACACTATCTCTCAGTCTCCGGGCCCCCACTGGTTCTCGCGAGATCCGGGCAACAGAGCGCTCGGGGCCTTTTCAAATCGGGATCCGTTACCGCTTCCCCGGCCGCCGCCATTGTCACGCTCGGAGCCTCTGTACGCAGGCGGCCGAAGCGGAGACAGTGGCGGCGGGATGGCGGATGCCGACAAGTCCGAGGTGTCCGGGGCCCCTGGCGACGACAGCCCGCTTCTACAGCCCTCAGAGCCGCCAGGAGAGCCGCGGGGAGAGCCGCGGAGAGAAACGCACCCGCCAGAGAACGAGAAACATCCTCCTCCGCACAGCAGCAGCTCCAATGGCGTTAAAATGTATTGTCTTTTCCTCCGGGGACCGGGACGAAGTGGGGGGCGGGAAGTCGGTCTGGGGGGTAGCGAAGGCTAGGCTGGGCGTCGGAGGATAACGGCCTTAGGGCCGTAAGCAACGGGAGGAGCAGGTGCAACCCAGCCGCTCCCAGGCCCAACGCGCCCGCCACGGGCCCAGTGAGCTGGGGTGCCGGTCAGGGGGGGCTGACGTCCGCTTTCCCTTTGCAGCCGGGGACCACGGCTCACCCCCTCTTCCCTCAGTTTGGCTGGAGAATCTTTGAGCAAAGCCACAGGCTGCTGGAAAACGGTCCCCCTTTAAAGGCTAGTAGTTAGTGTTCATCACTAGGGAGTAACTAGGGATGACATCATCGGGCATTTCCTCCTAACCACCTAGAGCGTATTTCAAAGAAATATCTCCGAATCTCCACGGCCTCACGCTGAGCTTTATAAATTCAGTTGTTTTCTAAAGTAGGTAGGCATTTCTGAACAGATACACACCAAAAGGAAGTTTAATATTGTGCTGTTAGGCTGAATCCATTGTTATCCATGAATTGGAAGAGTGATTTGAAAAAGGGAAATGTGCTTTGCTCCCTCGTCTTTCCCGGCCCCCAGATGTGTGTCAACCCTGCAGGCTATTATTTATAGACAGTTTGTGATGGTAGATTCTTAATGGTAAAGTAAGATTTTTTTAATTGAAGGAAATCCCCTGCTTTTAAAGTTGCAGCTGTCAAAGAATTTAGTTGACTCGAATTCATAATTTCGTCACTATAAGGAAATGTGCTCCCCTTTGTTGTTATATGGGGGAATATGAAGTCAGGCATTTACTTGCATATGCCCAGCTCTTTAAACCTAAAGTTGAAGTATGTTGTTATTTAGTGAGGACCTCCTTTTCCTTCTCTCTCAATTATTAGGGTAGAAAGCAGTGAACATACACTCACACTAAAATAGACCATGGAAATGTTCTTTTCTTTTGTATAAAAATATTTGAAATGGTGTAGTAAATCTGGACCTGTCTTTCTAAGGTTTGATTGAAGATAAGGAATCTCTGCCAGCTGGGTTGGTTATGACACTCTTGCTCTCAACTGGGTTTGGATAGGATGGGCAGTGTCTTCAGGCAGAATAGAGGTGAGGGTATAGGAGGTTCTATCTCCTTGGAGTTCGTGGGTGGAATATGGTGCACCTCAGTAACTACAGAACCAAAAGTGACTGAAGCACTTCTACCACGTTTATCAGTATGTGGGCTTTCAGGGATTTGGCATCATAAATGTGAATGAAAACCACTGAAATGATAAATGTAAACTGTGCTTTTAAAAATATAGATAAACATGGGTCTGCCACCCATCTTTTTCTGAACAGAAAGTACAGCCTTGAATTACAGAGAGAAGCCCTTCTCTACTTGGATATGATCAGTACTGCAATAGTGTTAGTGCAAGTAAAGCTGGCATCTAAACCTCCGTCAAATCGAAACGTCCCTACCCCCTTTTAAAGTTTCTTTGTGGTTTAGCTGGACAGGAGAGGAGAGAAGAGGGGTGGGAAAAGAATCTCTTTAACTTCTAAGTGAGGAACAGGAAAATAGAAGGTGAAGAAATTAAGCAATGTTACTAGTAAATTCAAATGTAGATCCTTTTCATATTGCTTATAATTCATCTCTTTCCAATAATCTTTTCTAAGAAGTTGAGTGAAGAAGCTAGTTTACTCTTGGGGGTTTCTTGTACTGTCTAGTCCATAAAAATATATAATGGTTCAGCATGGGTCACTCACACTGAATAATTAGGGACATTTACCTAATAATCTTTTTTTTGACCTTTGTGACCCAATGGGAGGAGTTAAGAACCCAACACATAAACTTCAGTTGATTTCCATATGTTTTTAATGACATAGAGATGATAAAAATTACCAAATATTGCTTTGAAAATCTATGTTGCATGGAAGTGAACACAGTGCTGCTTGTTATCAAGATTGAAATTACTTTTGCTGAAATCAACCCATAGTCAATGAGGATGGAAACCTCTCATCTTTGTATGCTTTAAAGGGCCTGGGATTTTTAGTGGTCATGTTCACATCGTTTGACAAAAAAATTTAAGATGTTTCCCTAGGTGTAGTGTTTTTCTTTGTGCCAAATGGTATACTAGCTTTTCATTTCTTTAGTGAATAGGAGGAAAAATAGTATTGTTATGTACTCCTCATTATTCAAGTGTGATTAAGTAACACCTTGGAGTATGTGGACATTAAGAGTTACATTAGGGTCTAGTATAAAATATTAAACATTGGAGTAAGGTAGAAGTAGAATAGTATTTTATATCCTGTTACAGTAGAGTAGTATTTTATATACTATTAGTAAAGAACTGGGCTTAATTTTGGATCTCATACTATAGCTTAATGTTTTTAAAATCCTTAAACTGTTTTTCTCATTTGATGTTAAATATCGATTTTTCAGAAATTTATGTTATAATGTGGGTAGGCATAAACCAGTCTTAAAAGTAGATAACATTTTTATGACTTAGAATAGTCATAGTGTGTACAGCAGTATGGTGATTACCAGAGGGAGAGGGGGATAGAAAGGAGTTAAGTGGAGATAAATGGTGACAGAAAGAGACTTGACTTTGGCTGGTGAACACACAGCACAATATACAGATGATGTACTATAGAATTGTACACCTGAAACCCATATAATTTTAACAACTAATGTCACCCTGATAAATTCAATAAAAATAAAAAAGAATAGTCACAATCTATATTTCAAGTACATTAAGAGAAATGTTTGCCTAAATGAATACTTTGGGAATTACTACATGGAATTCTGGATATAGTGTTATTTTGATATTATATAGCATTGTTTCCTTACGAATTTTTACATATGGTCTTACTGTGTCTTCCATAATGTATTTAGGACATAGAAAGGGTTTGGAAATTGAGTAATTACAGCTTAGTTTCTTAATCAGACCATATCTCTAGCGCTAAGTGATCTGCCTTCCATCGACAGTCTTACTTTACGTGTTGTAGATGAGCAGTAGCCATTTTCAGCATTGCAGCTGTATAGGCAAGTATTACTTGCTAGACTTGGACAGGTGTGATGATCACTTCCAGGCTGTGCCATTTCTGATGAAGGACAATGTCTGACAGTGAAGATGGCCCTGTCAGGGTCTGAAAAAGTGGCAAAGCAAGTTTGGCCCTAATGTCTCCTAATTTTAGTAGTTTTTCTGGCAGACATCAGCACCATCTGACTGTTTGCTTGTTCAAGAATTAATATTTATTGAGCACATGTTATGTGCAGTCACCATGCTAGATGCTGCTGATACCAACACAGATAGTTTTTGTTCTTGTAGAGTTTTATCTAGTATATTTATTGCTGTGTTGTTACCTGCTGAGAAAAGTAATGTGTGAAAATGTCTGTGTATCATGGAATGAGCGACTAGAGTAAGAGGTGTGTGGGGGGCACTGCATGATTGCTTGGCTTAGAAAGTATGTTTTTCTGCCAGAAAAACTGCTAAAATTAGGAGACATTAAGGCCAAACTTGCTTTGCCACAAAGATTTTATAAAATTCTGGTTGGTGCTGCATTTAAGTACTGCTTTCCTTTTCCACCCCATCCCCCATTATAGGTAATACTAATAAAAATGACATGATTCTATGAGGTATCCTATTCTAGTTTATAGGGTAAAACACAGAAAATATTGAGCATGAAAATATTAGGATACCTTATTAGTTTTCTTTGTTGATCAAAACAAAATAAACATTTTGAGTCACATTGGAGTATGTACATACAGATATAAGTTGTAATTATGTATTTTAACTGTTTTTAAACAACAGAGGAGAAAAGTTCTGGGAAGAAACTGTTAATCTTTAAGAAATGAACTTTTCAGGGTATCAGTTTGTAAATTAGTTTTTTAAGAGTTCGGAATAAGGCCCAGAAAGTCAATTCTCCATTAAAGGTGGCAGTTTTACATACTGTAGGAATATAATCACCCATTTTCCCTCTTAAGTACTAATAACATTTATTATGTACTATGATGGGGAAAAACTGGGTGATTGTTTGGATGCTGCAGCTGTTTAATATGGTAAAAAGGATGTGGAATGAGAATTTTGGTAATATGCCCAAATCCCTGCTTTGAAATAGCAGTGGGTAACTTCAAAGCCAGCGGTCTGAGTCTCCACCTGCTTTGCTGAGATCTAACTTAGTGCACTGAGGGTTTTGTGAAGTGGTAAATATTGAATATTTAATATAGACTTCTGTTTTGTTTTTAATTCATAGGGAGAATGATGAATCAGTAAAAGAGGAGAAATCTGAATTAAAAGAAAAATCAGCAGGAAATAAGAAGGCCCATAGATTTCATCCTTATTCAAAAGACAAGAATTTGGGCACTGGGGAAAAGAAGGGTCCAAATCGAAACAGAGTTTTCATTAGCAACATCCCGTATGACATGAAATGGCAAGCTATTAAAGATTTAATGAGAGAAAAAGGTAAACATCTTTGAAAGTCCACTGTTTGTTAATCTTCATATTATAAGGGGAGGGAACTAAGCAAACTTTTTGTATACCTCTGAGCCACACAGACTCATAAAAATTGGTTTTTGTTTATTTCTGGACACATGAATTAATCTTTTCCTCCTCTTTCATTTGACACAATTTCATTACAAGGTAGTATGGACAAATAAAGATTTTTAAAAAATTTTCTTGTTATTTCAGTGGGATGGTAGTGAGCCAGCATATGCATGCCACCAAATATTTTGTTAAAGTGATTGCTTTGTTTAGTTGAAGTTTTTTATAGATTTTTAAAGGACTATTGCATTAGTTAAGCAATACATTTAGCTGTTAAAGTATGAATAATAAGGTCTGATTAATTTTTTTTCCAAAAGCTGCTTTGTTACTATCTTGGTGGAATCTGGAATCTGGCTGTGGAATGCATTTTGTTTGCATTGTCATGAATGCGATGATGCTGTCTCTGCAGTTCTATATTAAAATTGTGTTACTGCTGTTGCAGTTTTGTTTTCAGAATAACCAGAAAACCTTCATTTTATATGTATGGTTGGTTTTGGGGAAAAATAATTTTAATATTTGATTTTGTAAAAGTTAGTTTTGTTATCTCTTGAAAAATTGAGTTTTAACAGTCCTGCTAACTATGTACTTGGCTTTGAGGCTCATCTCCTAATAAATTTTTAAAAATTGCATTGGTGTATCTGTTGTAAGGTGACAACTATTTGATTGGTTTTATTCATTGACTTTATTTAGAAAGTGTGTGGCTTGCTGTGAAGCATGACTTGTAAATTTAGTTTGATGGCAAACATGATTGAAGACATTCAGGTAGGAAGTCACCTTAAAACAGCTGTTGTGTGTAGGCGACTAAAGCTACTTGAAAAGTGCTAATGTTGATGTTTTTAATATGATAGGCTAAGGGAACATTTGTATGTATATGTGCATTTGTTCACCAACTATATCATGCGGGCCAAAATATGATCTGTAGTATGAATTAGGTTAATATGGTTGTTAGCTTTTTTAGAGAATGTGGATGATGTACATTTCTGAAAATTAGTTAAATTTACATAGCCATTGACAGGAGGTATGTTGGTCTGGTTTTGATTGTTGGTGAATAATAGGTGCTTTTCTGTAGAGTTGTGCACAGGTGTGCAGTAAAGCAAGACACTGGTGTTTAAATGTATTGTTTCTTGGTATCTTCCTTTTGTATGTCTTATGTAGTTGGTGAGGTTACATACGTGGAGCTCTTTAAGGATGCGGAAGGAAAATCAAGGGTAAGTGCTGTGGGCAGTAATCTGCTTGAGGTTTAAAAGTTCCTCAGCAGTTTACTTTTTGTATAATACTTGTACCAGTTTTTGGAAACTTAAGTTTCATTTTGTTTTACTTTATTATGCAAGATTTGAGGCTTTATACCAGCAAGTCTGACAACACAAATCAAGCTAGCTGCCTGAAAGGGATGGGTTTTGTAAATGCTCATAAAGGGCACTCACTTTTCTAATACTTGAAGGTAATGTTTCTTCTTAGACAATAGAACTTAATATAGGACTTTTTTTGTTGTGTTTTGATGTCTTTGAGGATATTTTTAAAGTCACTGAATTGATAATATTCCCTAAAGAGTTCTATGAGAGGCATATAGCTTAAATGTGTCAATTCAGAATGTATGTTTGAAATTTATACTGAAAAAACTTAATTTGGTAGCCTACAGGACGACATAAGAGGCAGTGCTCTGACCAATTGGTATGAATGACATTGATGATTAAATTGACATAGAAGGAATTGGGTGATAGTTGATTTTGATTTTTAGCAACAAGAAAGAATATATTGAAGAATACAATGGATAACTCTTAATAGTGTTTAATTTTATTAGCAAAAACCACTTGGGTGCATGAAAAATAAAAATTTTGTCATTATGTTTAGTGGCACTTTGAACAGTTACAATGACAAGTTATTATTTTAAAAATGATACTGCAAATTTGTTTCTTAACGCAGATGACTTTCTTAAAACTTTAAGATTTTTTTAAAGATTTTATTTATTTATTTGTAGAGAGGGAAGGGAGGGAGAAAGAGAGAGAGAGAGAAACATCAATGTGTGGTTGCTGGGGGCCATGGCCTGCAACCTAGGCATGTGCCCTGACTGGGAATTGAACCTGCAATGCTTTGGTTCGCAGCCTGCGATCGATCTACTGAGCTACACCAGCCAGGGCCTTTCTTTAAAACTTAAAACTGAATGCTGTTAAAACTGTGCAGCCAGTTTCCCCTGAGAACTTTGTTAAAAGTGAGATTAATCTTTTCTATTTTGATTTTAATAACATTTAAAATATACATTAAAAACTATTGGTGCACACTGCAGCTTTTGAAAATAGTTGTAACTATCTAAGGACAATGTAAAGATATGTATAGTGGAGGCTTCAGTTATTTCTTTGAATTACATTTGATTGAATTTGTGTAATGACATTACATTAGCTTTAAGGAAGAGTCATCTAAATTGTGCTTCAAGTTTGTTATACTAGGTCCTACTATCTTAAATAGATATGTTTAAAAATATACAGAAAATTTGTGGTCATTCGCCTTTTATGTTCTGGAGGTATAAAGACAATAAAAATGACTACTGACTGCTTTTGATGACTTAAATGTCATATTCTACTTTTAACTTCATCTACTGATACAACTTTTTTTTCTTTTACATATATTGACAAATCTACCTGGATATAGGGTTGTGGGTAAGAATTTTTTTTAAGTACCTTAAGTCAAATTTAAACTTCTGGTTGTAAAAAAATAATCTTAGTATATAAAAATCCCCCCATTTTTTCCCCTGATTAAGTGTGGTCGAATTTAAAGATGAAGAATTTGTAAAGAAAGCACTAGAAACCATGAACAAATATGATCTTAGTGGAAGGCCCCTGAATATTAAAGAGGTAAGATTTCTTATATTTGGAATAATTTAAACATATGAATATCAGGATATGTTTTCTTTGGATTTTCATCTTTGGTACTATATTTATCTGACTACAACATTTTTTTAGCATAAATGCTTATTAGAACATTTATATTGATGGTAGTTTTGCTTCCTTATTCATGATTTTCTATTTGCCCTTAAGCAGTTATCATATATATTTGATTTGCTCCAAATTATCATAAGCAGATATATATGATTTAAAGACATTTCAGGCCCTAGCAATTTAAAAATGACACACTTTTGGTGCTGAGTTTATTTAGTATATACATACTCAGTTTTTAGGTTGTGTTGTTTAATTTGAGAAGTATAAAGATATTTGTAGATATTTTTGTAGTTGATAATCAAGGTTGCTTAATAGTATAAATATCTTATGGATTTGAATAAAATTGGTGTTCACTTTCAGTAAAATTAACCTGAAATTGTAGCAGATTAAAATTTAAGAAAAATTATGTCTATTAGCAAAATTTATAACTAAAACTTGGAAACCCTAAAATGAAGATGTTCCCTTTGAATGGAATTGTTGCAGTAAAGATATTTTGATAAAAGATTGATTGGAAGATACATTAAAAAACTGTTGATAGTAAGGGTAATTGAACTTACAAATAATTCAGTTGAATAGCAGTCATCTTCCTGTCTTCCTTTAGTTGATATTATTAATCTTATCTGAATAGTTTGATCACAAACCAGTTATGTATATATCCTTGTTAAAGTCTGTATTAAACAAGGATAGAGGATATAACTTGGGGAACCTGAAGAGCCTCCACTAGCATGGATGTTAATCACTGGTAATAGAGCTGTACATCAGTGACAGTTTAACTTAGTATAGTAGTGACTTGACTCCCAGCTCTGTCACTTTCTAGCTGTGTGAGTAGGCATTTACTTATTCTCTAACCCTTAGTAATGATAACGGCACTACAGATAATACTTACCTAATAGGGTTTTTATGAGGATTAAATGAGGTACATAGTAAAGAACTCAGTCTATGGCATATGAGAATCCGTATGACCCAGGGCAAATTACATAACCTATTTTTTTAATCACTAAAATGGGAACAGTGATAGTGTTATAAGGAGTCAAAGTTAATACATATAAAACATTTAATAAATGTTAGCTATTTGTTATAATTGTACATTTAATTATAATTGTTATATAATAATTTATTATATAAAGTATTTAGCATAGTGTACCAAATATTATAATTACATAATAAATGTTACCTGTAATAATAATTATGATCGTTGTTATTACTATCCAGGGTGGGAATGTTACTGGTCATTGTTCTCTTGTTTCTGATTATGAGGCAATAAAGCAATAGTTCCATTCTTCCTTCTCTGCAAGGGATACGTTCCAAGACCCCTGGTGGATGCCTGAAACCAAGGATAGTACTGAACTCTAAATATACTATGTTCTTTCCTGTACATACATACCTTTTAACTTACAGGAAGCACTGTACAGCTTCTCTTTGGCATATTCGAATTGCCAGCATCAGTACTCTTGCACATTGGCACCATTAAGTAAAATAAGGGCTACCTGAACACAAGCACTGTGAAACCATGATAGCTGACCTGATAACTGCAATGGCTACCTAGTGACTAAAGGGTGGTAGTGTACATAGTGTGGATGACACTGGACAAAGGGATGTTTCATGTCCTAGGTGGGATGGTGTGAGACAATATGATTTCATCACACTACCCAGGAGGGCACACAATTTAAAACTTATGAATTGTTTATTTCTGGAATTTTTCATTTAATATTTTTGGATGTTGGTAAACCATGGGTAACTGAAGCCAAGGAAGTGAAACCATGGATAAGCAGGAACCTACTATAGCTTAAAATGAAAGGCCATGCTACCAACTTATACAGGTATCTCAAATCCCTTTATTTTCGTCAGCTTCTGAATTCCTCTAATCCTGTTTGACTCTGAGGGTTCTTTGTTTGTTTGTTTATTTTTATGACTGGGAAGTGGATAATTTATAGAGAAAATTTAGACTGTTATGATCTATGCAGGCCATTTATTGGGTTGGCCAAAAAGTCTGTATTTTTTTTCCATAAAATAAAAGATACATTTTTCATTTTCACCAGTAACTATTGATTTGGATTTTTTGAGTATGTCAGCCATCTCTTCTGGGTGGTATAATGTTGACTGTTCTCAATCAATGCCTCGATTTGATCAGTACCAACTTCAACTGGTCTACCCAACTGTGGAGCATCGTCTAACAAGAAATCTCCAGTACAAACTTCACAAACTGCTTTTGACATGTTTGATCAGTCACAGCACCTTCTCCATACACTGCACAGATCTTTTTTTGCATTTCAATTGCATTTTTACCTTTTTTGAAATAATAAAGCATAATTTGTTGTTTTGTGATGTTTCTTCTTAATTTTCAAAAGACAAGTGTTACAGATTCTCAGTGTTTTCATTTCTAATAGGAAAAAGATTTATTGAGTGCTAAAGGACAGGGCCATGTTGTTTGTGTTTTAAGTTTTAGCACATTGTAGATCCTCAGTAATATTTTAGAGATTTTAGGATAGAGTTACATGATCCATGATGATGTAGGATACTTCCATTTTTAGCCTCTTTAAGATTAAAAAAAATGGTATACTTTGGCCTAACTAAATGATGAGATGTTCTTTATTCAATTAATTCTTTTGTATTAATATCACTAAAGGTCCTTTTTCTGGGAATATCTGAGATACAAATGGATGGCTGAGGTTAGTACAGAGAAGTACTAGTGAGAGTCTAAGAAAAAGTTTATTTCCCATGTTCCTTTACAGATATTAGAGTTGTACTTTTTCATGTAATTTGGGGTGGGGGGTTGATAGCAGTTGTAAACTTATTATAGGCTCTCTAATAGCAACAGCTGGCAATGCCTGGCAGTCTGACATCCAAGGGAAAAAGAGGAATAAAAACTATATATAGTACATAATTTGTGTTATATAAATTGTATATATGTTTTACATATATTGATGTGTGTCATGTATGTAAAAGACATCTAAACATAGTACTATGCTTTATTAATGTTAAGGTAAGAACAAACAACCCATCTTAGTAGTTCATGAAGCCTTTATTCTACTATGTCCTCCTCCATAGGTAACCACAATCCTAAATTTTATATTTGTGCAAGATTCTGAAACCTTAGACCTAAAGCATTTATGATTTTATAGCATTCTTTAGAAACATTGATTTCTTCTTGTTTTTTTATTCTTCATGATAAAGAAATATATTGGAAGACAGAGTACTTTTATTCTTACATTCACTTTTTCACCTTCTATTCTATACCTTAAATTCTTCCTAAAAAATTTATTAAAGTCACCAAATTTTTGTTTTTTTTTTTTATTCCCAGTCCAGTGGAGTAGAGTTTATGGTTGCATGTATCATAATTACTTGTAGTGCAGATGATAAACTATTACTGTGTTTGGGGTTTTTTTTGTTTTTTGATTTTTGCATTCCACCTAGTGAAATGAGTGAGAAATACCTTTAAACTTGCTTTTCTTTGGTTTAAAGGTAGAATATTTCCTTATAAAATTAATGAACTAAAAAATAAAGCAATGCTTAGTATCAGTCTTCATTTGGACACTCTCTATTTCTTCCCTCCTCCCAGTCTTAGATCATAATGATATTGAGGACGGAAAGAGGTTGGAAGGTAGATGATTATATTTTATTTGTTCAGTAATAAAATTTACACATTATCATAGTTCCCTTGTAACCCAGTATTCTGTATTCTGTATAACAGTATTCTGTATAACAGTATTCTGTATAACAATCTGTTCTGCTGTTGAAAAGCTCTGAATTAGTCTTAATTAGGCCTTGCATTGGTCATCTAGTAGTGACAATTCACTATTAGTGCATTTGGGAAAGAAAAGAGTTACAGTATTTTGTTCCTCTTTGAGTTATGTATATGTATGTGTATGTTCCATATACTTGTACACTAGTGCAAGGGCAAAAGTAAATTAATTTCAAGTTCTTAAGTGACTTTAGTGATTGGATAGAGATATTTTTATTTGACACCCCTGGAGACTAATCTTTTGTTTGTCCACAGGTTTTTATGGGACTGAATTCTCTGGGTGAGAAAAAAAGCTCACTCTTCAACAGAGCCAATAATTTGACCCCAATGGGATACCTACTGTAGAATATGAACTTGTTGTTTTCATTATGTAGGCTTTATAATGTATGTAGTGGCATTTAACATTCAATGTGTGTTTTAGGATCCTGATGGAGAAAATGCTCGTAGGGCATTGCAACGGACAGGAGGATCATTTCCAGGAGGACATGTACCACCTGATATGGGATCGGGGCTGATGAATTTACCACCTTCCATTCTCAATAATCCAAACATTCCTCCTGAGGTTATCAGTAATTTGCAGGCTGGTCGACTTGGTTCCACAATTTTTGTTGCTAATGTAAGTTTAAGCTTTAGTCTAAAATTTTGTCATTCAGATATGTAGTTCTAATTATGAGATTATTTGATTAGATAAATGGGTTATAGGTTTATAGAACATTTTATTTTTAACTAAAGTAAGTCAAACATAAATTATTGTAAACTCAAACCCAATTTACATTTTTATATATAAGGTTAGAGTGTATGTACCAATATTTTTAATTTTTCAAAAAAAGAACCGTGCAATTTATAAACACTTAGCCGTTCTTGAAATTATTTACTTTTATGTGATTTTTGTTCATTTTGGTAAATTGATTTTTTTAGCTTTAATATTTGATATTTGTGAGTGTGCATGTTATAGTTGGTTTGTCATTTGTTCTTAGCTTTTGAAAGTCAGTGATATCAACAATAATTTATAAAATCTGAATTTCTCCTAGTAAAAATAGATGTGCAAGTTTCAAATGTACAAAACAGGATTGAATAGGTGAGAGACTGTTTTGTGAATTTTTAAAAAATTAAGGATAAGGAATAATGCAGTTGTAGCTTAACTAATTTCAAACAACCTAATATTTTATGTGAATATTATTTGATATACTGATTAACAAGAATAGTAGTTGTTTAGAGCTTTGAGAGTTTATAAAAGATTTGTTTATATTATTTATAAGTGAGGAGAGGGGTTATTAGGTACATAACTTTATATAATTTTATGTTAAGCTTGATTTTAAAGTTGGTTGGAAGAAGCTAAAAGAAGTGTTCAGCATAGCTGGAACTGTAAAGCGGGCAGATATTAAAGAAGACAAAGATGGCAAGAGCAGAGGAATGGGCACTGTCACTTTTGAACAAGCAATTGAAGCAGTTCAAGCAATTTGTATCCTCATTAACACTTTAGGATTATTTAATAAGGGTGAAGAATCTTGTTACCATTTTGTGAAAGTTCTGGAATTTAAGATTGCCTGGCTTAGAAATGTGTGTTAGACTTTAGTCTCCAGCACAAAGCTTTTTCTGTCCAAGTACTAAAGTCACTCTTAAAACTTGAATTGGCCATGGTATAGGCCTGGTGTGAACCTTTTTCTGCTTTCTCTTCCTGCCACAATTAATTGTAAGGTAAACATGCTCCTGATATTTATGTAATCCAATTATGTATTACAGTTGCTTCAAATGAAGTCTTGTTAATTTTCTTTATTCAGTGGTTGAATTAAAAGCTTACATTTTATACATAAAATCAAACTACAAAGAATGAAAGTTTTTCTTTGAGTATATGGAAGAGACTAATATAAATAAGTAAAATATTAAAAATGTTTATTAAAATATTCAAGGTAGCCTGACTCTAAATAAGATTTAAAAATGTATTTGTATTCAAGTATAACTTTATAGTTGTCTTAACTGGCTTTCCTTGACTGAACCAACAGCTATGTTCAATGGGCAGTTTTTGTTTGATAGACCTATGCATGTGAAAATGGTGAGTTCCTGTATGTCACTTCATCTCTCCAAATGTTTTAAATCTTTTCTCTGTTCTCTACATTACAGATCTTTTTAGTTATATATTAAGCTTATAATAAACTTTTTTGCAATTAGGATGACAAGTCTGTCCCTCATGAAGACTACCGTTCACATGACAGTAAAACTCCACAATTACCACGTAAGTAAAAGCCTTTAGAAACAACCAGAATATTGTGTTTCAGCTTTACTGTGTGCTAAGCAGAACTCTTTGTTTTCATGTCTGTATCCCAAGTTGCCCAAAGTTTGGAGTTACAGAGATAGTTTGGCATGATGGACTAGGATGATTGAGAAGATAAATGTGTGCCATTTTTCTCTTTTTGGTAGGTTTTCCCCATTATAGAAATGTATACTAAAAATGTCCACATTATAAAAGTTTTGATGAGGGGAGAAAAAGTCTTTGTAATTTTACTGCAAGTAATCTCTATTATAACACTTTTTTGGTATTTTTTTCTAGTCTTCTACATATATTTTTTATATAGTTGAGAATTACCATATAATAATTTTGTTTCTTTGTATTTAACATAGAATATATGAAAATTCTTTCCAAATATGTTTATTGGTCGAATAATAGTCTCATATGGATTCCTCATAACTATTCCACTGTTATGTATATTTAGGTGTTCTTTTTTCCCTTTAATCACCAGCAGAGTAATTCATGTCCTTTTGTATACCAATCTTTGCTATGTTTTTGGTTATTTCCTTAAAATAGATATTCTGAAGTAGATTTACAGGTTCTTAAGCCATGCTTATTGATCAGTGTTATCAAAATGTTCTCCAAAGGATTATGAAACCAAAATGTAATGTACCTAACACCTGTGACTCAATACCAAGTTTGTGAAATGAGGGTGCTATCAGTACCTATTTCATGGGATTGCCATGGGTGTGTTGTGAGTTAATATATAAAGCTTTTAGCACAATCCTTGCATAATATAAGCAGTCAATAAATACTAGTTCTTATTCTTACTGTTTCACCATGCCTTCTCTGGTTATTATTAAATTTTTTAATATTTTAAGTATACAACCAAACTTAAAATTACTCATGTAGCTATCATGGACCATACTTGTTTTAGGTGATTTTTCTTTAAAATAAAACTTTATAGATAAAGTTGAGATTACTCCACTCCCCTGCCCAACTCCCACCAGATAGCTTACCTTGAGGAAACAACTTATGATGAATACAGTGTTTATCTTTTAAGTTCTAATGATTTGATTACAGATTTACACATTCACAGACATTATATGGAATTGTTATGCTGAATTTGAAATTTGGCATGCGATATCATATCATATATATTCTGCAACTTGCTGTTTTTAGTTTAACTTTTTTTTAGATTGTTTATGTTGATACATATAGTTTTATTCCCTTATTTTATCTCTTAATACCACATTTTATATATTTTTCTGTTTTTCAGTTATTCTAATTTTTGTTAGCAATATTACCAAGTTGGAGAGAGTGTGTTCTTTTTCTAATAGAATGATGTTCTCTTAATATTTGCTAGAAATTATGTATAAAACAGTCTAGCCTTGGTGTGTAGTTTTGGGGAAGAGTTTAAAATACTGATTGTTCATATTTTCTATTGCATCTCGAGTCAATTTTATTTTTATTTTTCTAAGAAATTTACCATTTTTGTCCATTTTTAGATTTATTGGCCTAAAATAGTCTCTTAAATTTCTGCCACATCTATAGTTCTACCTTTTAAGTTTTTGAAGGGTTGCAGTATCTCCTTTTCCCTTGGTCAGTTTTGCTTGCAGTATGCCACACTGGAAGAAGAGGAATTGTTTTGTGCTGCATATTAAATACATTGCAACACATAATCACAAAACAACCTCATGTTTAAGTAACTTTATGGTTTTGTTTTGGGCCACATTCACAGCCATCCTGGGCTGCATGTGGCCCGTGGGCCTCAGGTTGAACACCCCTGGTAGAGGTTGTCAGTTTTTTAATGCTTTCAAATAAGTAATTTTGTTTTCTGTATCTCAATTTCTGTTCTCAGCTTTATTATTTTCTTCTATCTGTTTCTTTGGGTTTAGTCTCATTTTTTCCCTAATTCTTTAGGTTGAATGATTCACTAATTTGCAACTTCTATTTCTTTTTAAAAAAATTTTTTTTAAAGATTTTATTTATTTACTTTTAGAGAGGGGGGGAGGGAGAAAGAGAGGGAGAGAAACATCAGTGTGTGCGAGATACATCAGTTGGTTGACTCTTGCATGCCCCACCAGCTGGGGACCTGGCCTGCAACCCAGGCATGTGCCCTGACTAGGAATCTAATTGGTGACCCTTTGGTTTGCAGGGCAGCACTCAATGCACTGAGTCATATCATCTAGGGTTGAAGCATATTTGTTGGGCTTTCATAATGTGTATACTCATTTTTTAAGGATGAACTGGAAAATTCTTAGCGCATGTGTCTTTCAGTATTGCCCCTTCTTCTATAGGGCAGTTCTTTCCGTCTCCATGGAAAAGTGGAGTTTAACTCCACGGATAAGTTTACCTTATCACGCAGAGTGTCATCCTTCAAGATCCTGGTCTTAATGCAGGGTATCCCAATTAACTTTCAACTATTAGTAATCTTTTATTTGGATAAAAATAAATCTTATATTACATGTTTATACTGTGTTCTTTTTAAGATTTCATTTTTATATACTCTTTTCTATTGATATATGACCTCATAGACTTTGACAGAATCAATTTGTTGTAGTTATGCTAATTATTATGAACCTCCCCATATTTTTTCTCCTTCCCTTCCTTTCTTTGCTTAAATTGTAACTTGGCATGTGGGAACATCCTCATTTCCCATGCCTCTGATATTCTTTTTAGTAGAAACAGGATTTCCCAAAACCATGAAGATTTTTTCTTGTTTGAATACAAGGAATTGACCTACTTTCAAGGAATCCCAGGTCCTTTAGTGAAGAATGATAGTGCTAGGTGTAGACATGGGCATTGCTGATGTACAAATATGCTATTGCTTTTAGTTGGACCATTTTTAGGGACTGAGCTGAGAAAAGATATTTCCTTTACCAGGTTATATTCATCATTCCAATTTAACACAATGTACCTCTACTCTACCTTTAATAACATTTATGTGTGTGTGAGGGGGTTAGCCTCTAATTGATACATTAACTAGAGAGAACTTTAAAAGTAGAATAAAACAATACCTATTCAAATATTAATTAGTTATACCTTTAAGGTCATCTTCGGGTTATCTTCTTGAAGTCTATTTTAAGAGAAGTAGTAAAAAGAGTATTGGATTTAGAGACAGAAAACTTAAATTCTATTCTTAATCACATAGCCAAATGGCATTGTGCAAATAACCTAAGGTCTCAAAAATTCCCTTGTCTATGGATAATATATGTGAAAACACTTAAGGTACCATATAAATATAAATAAATATGTATGATAAAAGTGGGTAATGCAACATTTGCTTTATTTAATATTGTTTTCATGGTTGTTGACTTTTTAGTTTGATTTGAACCATTTTAAAAGTAGTTCTTAGATTTTAAGTGGTTTTACAAATTTGAGAAAGTCTTATTTTCAGATATATATGCCATTTATAAGGTGACACAATTTTTAAAATCCTCTCAGTATTTTACTAGTCTTTCTCAATATGCCTTTAACTGAAATATAAGATGGATCTGCTTTATAAAACAGTTATCATTACTTACAAATTATATTATACTGAGGGTTCAGTGTGCTGCACCCCAATGAAAACAAGAACCAGTGGTCTTATTTAGATACATGCAAAATTTTAGAGGTACTACTATGGGTTTATGGCTTAAAAAAATTGTAGTGCCAGTTATGTAATCATATATGGGTTGGTGATATTATTATTTGTGTTTCAGGTGGTCTTGGAGGCATTGGAATGGGACTCGGTCCAGGTGGACAGCCTATCAGTGCCAGCCAGTTGAACATAGGTGGTGTAATGGGAAATTTAGGTCCAAGTGGTGAGTATTATAACTTGCTTATTTCTTTTTAAATGATACATTTGCTAGGTCATAAACCTCACATTCAGTAGTTTGTAATAATGTTTAAAGGACTGCATTTTATAGTTGGGTATTTAGGATGTGACTTCAGTTTGAAAAAGGAATGAATTTGGAGAGCAGAGAACACAAAAGAGAATGGGGAAATGTCAGGAGGGTCCCTCTGAGGCCAGCTGTGCTGTAGCTAGCCTGTTAGCTCTGTGGGCTTTGGAGTGGCTTTGAGGCAGAAGGGGAATAGCACGGCACCTTGTGTATCATGGATGTACGGTGTTTGTGGGATGGCCAAAAGGCCGCTGTATCATAAGCAGTTTAACTTTGCATATCTAGACGGGTAGTAGTTTTTTTAGATAGCTTTTTGGCTCTTCACCTAGACCTAACTTAGTTTATTTTTAAGATTTTTTAAAATTTTTTGGTTTCAGAACCTTTTTATACTCTTAAAATACGTTGAGGATTCCAAAATGCTTTGGTTTGTATGGTTATCTTTATCAATATTCACTATATTAGAATTTGAAATATATATATAAATTTATTTAAAAATAGTAAGCCCATTGTGTTAACATAAATATACTCTTTAAAAAATAAATTATATTTTCCATACAAAAGAATTAGTGAGAAGAGTGGCATTGTTTTACTTTTTGATACATCTGTTTAATGTTTGGCTTAATGCAAGACAGTGATGCCATTGTATCTTCTGCATTTAGTTTGTTACACTATCACACATCATGTAGTAGTTTATGGAAAATTCCACATTATAACTGAAAGAATAAGAGTAAAACAATCATTAGTATGAACTAAATAGTTTTGACATATTGGCTCCTCAAGGATCCCCAGAGCACACTTTGAGAACTATTATTTTAACTGATGGTTTAATAACATGATCGGATTTTTATTTTTTGAGATGCTATAGCTACACTTTAAATGATAAGAGTAGTTATTGTAATCATTCTGATCCAAACAAATGGAGATTTTCTTCCTTACTCTTAGACCCTCCACCCTCCTGAACACATACTATTTTTATTCTTTAATTTTTCACTGCTCTCTTGGCTATCACGTGTAGAGTGCTTAACTTTCTCACTTGATTTTCAAATCTGCTATAGTGATACTCCTGTTTGTCTGAAAAAAATCAGTGAGAGTGGTATTTTACGTCTACTCTGAAAAAAAAAGAATGATTTTCTAGTTCTGGATATTTTCTAACAGAATGTAAATGTGACCAGTGACTTTCCTTGTCTAATAATTATTCAGTGAAGCCTTTTTGAATAGTCATGATGAGACTGTTGCTGTGGCATAGTGCTTTGAATCATCCCACCTGTGCCCTTGCTTCTCTAGTGTTCCATTGTGACTAAACCAATGGTATCTGTTTGCTCCTTTGTGTTTTGTCGTTCTTTAGTCATAAAAGTAAGATTTACTCAAAGTGTATACTGTGTTTTTATTTGAGGTATGGGAATGGATGGTCCAGGTTTTGGAGGAATGAATAGAATTGGAGGAGGTATGTACAAGCACTTGTTTTTTTGTGTGTACCCACTGCCATTTTTAGTAAATAAGGAACTGTATTGAGAATTCCAAGGGCAAACAAGTCATGGTTTTTTTGTTAGCTTACTTCCTAAAAGATGCTAGTAGAAATTGAGTCTGGTACATAAGAAATATGGAAGGTGATGTGTTAAGAAGCAGCTGCATGAGGTAGGGTAGATGAAGAGCTTACGGGTGAGACTCAACATTTATAAAATATATCTTTCAGCTATACAATGGACAGTCAAATCTCAAATTAATCTTTATTTCTTAGGCATTGGGTTTGGTGGTCTGGAAGCAATTAATAGCATGGGAGGATTTGGAGGAGTTGGTCGAATGGGAGGTAGGTAAATGTATGTAGTGGGACATGTATGCTACATTTAGTTTACCTTATATGTAAAATGTTCCCCCCTACTTAGGGATGAGTACTATAGTGGTCTTTAGAGTGTGGGCACTTGGTGTTAGGGACAGGCATGGTGAATTGGTATATATGTGGAATATGAGGTTGGGTAAATAACAGACCTTTTTTGTTTTTGTGACTTTGGCTATCTCTTTAGTTTCAGCATGTTCCTAAATGGGTTCCTGTGTATTGATATACTTGAAAAGGGGTTAATTTATTGCATAATTTTTTCAGAGCTATACCGTGGTGCGATGACTAGTAGCATGGAGAGAGATTTTGGACGTGGTGATATTGGAATAAATCGAGGCTTTGGCGATTCCTTTGGTAGACTTGGTAGGCTGGCTGCATACTTCTTTTCTTTTCACAGGTTATATTTTTCCAAGTTTGTTTCCTTTTTCTGTGAAAAATTAGAAATTTGTAATGTTCCACTAAATTTATTACTAGAAGAAAATACTTTATGGATTTTAATGTACTAGCTCTGTTTTGCAGTATCTTAAATATTTGAACCCTATTTCTTGAAGACTATACTTGTCAGTTACTGTACATCTTTTGAGAGCATAGTACCTTGGGACTTTGAAAGTATGATTGTTTAAATTAATTAGTATATTATCTCTCCACCCTTGTTTAGGCAGTGCAATGATTGGAGGGTTTGCAGGAAGAATAGGAGCTTCTAACATGGGTCCAGTGGGATCTGGAATAAGTAGGTTTAAATTTTACTAGAATTTATTCAGTATTATTTGTGTGCTTGCAAAAGACTTGCAAGAGTAGTTATCGTAGTATAGCAGTACTTTGTTCTTATATGTTAATAATGTCATGTTATAATGTACAGAAGCTTTGATAGTTGTTGAGCTTTTTTCTGTGTGATCACTGAAATTTCTAAAGTACTTCGATTTTTACTTTTTTGGTATTTCTAAACTAACACCAGAGTATGTATTAACTGTCAGCCAGTCCAAGAATCTCCTTTCCAACTAAAAAATCTGGGGATTTCTCTGATCGTGTGTGAAGAACACCTTTTGCATAAAAAGTGAAACAGTAAAAATAAAAAGAACAACTTTTGTATTAGCACCAACTTTGTTTCCAACTGCTATTGGTTACTAGTTTATTTCATTTGTGGATACCTTTTGGAATATGCAGGTGAATTGCCCCAGGTACACACTTCTAAAGAGACCTCCTGAAGTTGAAGATGTTTATTTCCTTTTAAACCTTTCCTGTGATAGAATCAACAGTAGTTGAAACACTGGGGAATGCTGAATCTCTTTCACCTGTTTCCACTACCACATTTTTAGGCCTAAAGGCTTAACATGTGGCTTAGTTATTGACCTCTTTTGCTTACTCAACCATGTCTCTATGAGTTCTCCATACTTTGACTTCCTTAAATTGATTGAAATCTCACAAATAGGAAACACAGAATGAATTAAAAAATCCTGCCAGCTGAAGATACCTCTTTCCATTTTCCCTTGCCTCTCGTTTTATTCCTTCTTTTCATCATCTTTTCCAGACTTGGCCATTTTTCTATTGATGGTAACTTCCCTGCCTTTCCTTTTTCACCTCAGAGTTTACACTTCTGTTTCCCTGATTTTATATTTGTTATTCACAGAAAGCCAACTTGAGGGTAATGTTAATTTTTAGAATTTCTATGTCTGAGGGCTTTAGGTATGAGAAAAAAGCATGCATTTTGAGAATGAGTAGGATTGGAATGAAGTGGATATGCTTTCTGAGATAAATTCTCAAGCTCTGGCCAAAGGGTTGTGATTTCATTTGTTGTTACTACCTTCGCAAGTTTTATATGACACTGAGGTTAAAATTAACTGTGTTTCTGTGGTTATTGAAAATTGAACTTACACAAAAAGAGAGATTATATGTGAAGCAGAAGATACAAAGATGAAAGGGAATCTAGGAAAATAATATTTTATAGGAGAGTAGGATGAGAGCAACAATTGATGTCCTGGAGTTGTAATAATTTGAATTTGCTCCGTATATCTTTGCTCTAGCAATTATTAAAGTTAGTGTGTTATTAGAAAATAAAAATGAGAATAAAACTACTCTAACATTATTGGATAAAGTAATTGGTAGAAAATTTATATTACATATATGGTGGGTTTTATGATCAGAGTGTGATTTTATAGAAGGATATGTATATAATGTTATATAGTGGCTAAAATTAACATTTAGTTAGCCATTAACATTCAACTAACCAAATGTATACCAAATTAAATTCTGTTCTTGAAAGATTGTTATATTGTATGTATGAAATTAATTTTATGCTTACATATAATCTAATTACATAAATGAATTAATTTTTCTCTCCCTTTGTTTCTCAAAAATTATTCTTTCCCTCCTCTTTCTCCCTTTCTTCTTCTCCTTTTCCTGCTTTTAAAACAAAACACCAAACTCCCAAACCCTCTTGTCCCTTCCTGAAAATCCAGGTGGTGGAATGGGTGGCATGAACAGTGTGACTGGAGGAATGGGGATGGGACTGGATCGGATGAGTTCCAGCTTTGATAGAATGGGACCAGGTATAGGAGCTATACTGGAAAGGAGCATCGATATGGATCGAGGATTTTTATCAGGTCCGATGGGAAGCGGAATGAGAGACAGAATAGGCTCCAAAGGCAACCAGATATTTGTCAGAAATGTAAGCAACTAAATGTAAAGTGTACTTAAAGTTATTTTTTGCCTCCTGTATCTGTTACTAATACCTTTTTTCATTCTAGCTGCCTTTTGACTTGACTTGGCAGAAACTAAAAGAGAAATTCAGTCAGTGTGGTAAGTATGCCAATGATTGCAGATATGTTAATAGTGATTATGGAGGAAAAATTTAAACTTTTTAAAATTGTCTTGGACCTTTACCTGTCCAGATGCTTATTTCTAGGCTGTATGACGATCTAATTTTTCTTCAAATAAATGAATTATTTTTCTGACCAAGAGCAGTGCAAATTACTACTAAATAACATGATGTAGAATAGAGCTTGTCATTGTCTCCTGTGGATAAAAGAAAATGATTGGTCTACTCTCTGATTATTAAAAGGTTGCTATATCATGATTGTTCACATTTAAAAATATTTTTTCTTCTGGGAAGTACTAGAATTGGTTTGTTCATTTCCTACAGTGCAATACATTGTCAACATGACCCAATGATATTAACTCCAAATGATGAGATGACCCCATTCTATAATACTCCATTACCTACACAGCACAGGAAGCTAACCTGATAGTGTAGAGCCCCCTGCCCAGAACTCTTTAGATGTAGGTGCATTCTGGTGGCCTTCTGATTCTTTTGTAAACTATTCTTGGCTATAATGAATGATACTACCTGTACAACCTTAATATATTTATTAGGTCTGTAGAAGATTAGGTGTTTTAGTACTTTTAAAAAAGGACCTTTTTTGTGTGTGTGTGTGTGATGATGAGAGAATTAGTGTGAGTGGAACAAAATAACAGGTTTTCTGCCAGTATTTTTCTGCTATTGGGTGATGTCCTAGAGACTGTAATCACAAAGTAAGCTGTATAGGTGGGCGTATACCCTATTTTTCAGACTGTAAGACACTTCCCCTGAATTTGGGAGGAATAATGGTTGCTAATGCTGCTGTTGAGTTCTGTTACATCTACGTTGGTGAAATATTATGTTATTTATGTTACTAAATATTTTAGCACATTTTTTGCTTCAAAAGCTTTTTTCCTATTTTCCTCTAAAACCTAAGTGCGTCTTATGGTCTGAAAATTACAGGTAATGTTGAAAAAGGGCTAAAAATGATACATTCAGTCTTTGAGAGTTAATGAAAAGTTAAGAGCATTTGGAATATATCTTTAATTTTTTGAGCTCATAAAGAGGCTAAATCTAATGTCCTCCCACAAAAGTAGCCTGTGTAGCCACTTATCAAAAAGTGATAGATCATTTGTGATCAAAGCGATCACTGTGGGATCTATTGTCTGTCTACTGTGTTCTCAGAGTACTTTATATGAAACTCTATTGTAATTAACTGTTCATGTTTTCTTCCCTCCTAAATGGAGGCTGTTGAGGGCAAGAACTGTCTCTTTTATCATAGCACCTTTTATTGCCTTGATACATATAGTAAGAGTTTGTTAAGTATTTTTGGGTGAGTTAAACATTCTGAGCAGATCTTCATTTATTTACTCATTCATTAAATCTGCTAATACTGTATTTTGGCAGTTTGTTACCATGATGTTCTTTTGTCTTCTTCTTTTGATTATTTTTTAAAAAATGTTTTATTCAAAGAAGAGAAACTCAACCTTTTCTTTGATAAAAAAATTTGTTGAAAGTGACTCAACTAGTAAACAGTCACCACTAAGAGAAGGCAAAATTATAAAGTTGTTTGGAGGTGTTGGTAGTCTTCTGTAGGAGCAAGAGTATCTACCAGAATGAGTAGGCAGCAACTGGCCACCCATAGATTACAGAGGAATGAACACATTAGGGCCTTACTGTAATGTATGAAATGAGGAGCAATGGCAGCAAGTGTAGATAATCTCTGTTGAAGTTTCAGTGAAAAAAGAAATCTCCAGTTGTGATATAATATTATGTTAAAAGGTAGAAATGAAACAAGATAAAAAGAACACAGTAGGGCAAACAAAAATGACATTAATGAAAATGCAACTAATATTGAGTTGACTGTTCTTTATCCTATGTAGGCAGATTTTTTTTGACGTTAGGTATGAGAAAGGCTTGCAACAAATTTGAGGGTTTTTTAGTGAGTGTCTAGCTGGAGTGGTATTGTTGTGACAGAAGGACACCAGCAATTCAAGGACATTTTCTAAAAGGAAATATTAGTATCCAAATCTACATTTAAAAAATTTGTACAACATTTTAGACAATAAAAAGTGGTTAAATTATTATTCTCTACTTTGTTATTTTAGCTCTAATGTCCCTTTTTGATCAGCCTATATTCTTATCATGAGAGTAATAATTTTTGTTTTGTTTTTTTTTCCAATTCTAATTGTAAAAGCTTCTGACTTTTAGATTTATATTAAGGTAATAACATAAATACTTAAATAATTGCCTACCATCTTCCTGTTTTTAATCTTGAACTGCATTGATGGGAAAGGAAGTAAGTTATATAGTAATACAGAATTTCGGCCAGCAATTGACAACTGTTGAAATTACCTGGTTTGTATGATCTGAACCATTTATTTTTCTGCCCCATCATTTTGTTATTAAATCTTAAGAGTGTTTCTTTCTTAGTGTGGGAATTTTTTTTTAACCTGATGTAAGCCAGCAGTAGCTTCTTTTGCAGTAAAGGCAAGGTTTTGTTTTGTTTGTTTTGCCTCCTGAGCCCAGGGCATGTAAGTATACAGGGTCCGGCATAGATAACTCTCCATTTTCATTACAAGATCTTTTATTACAAAATCATAAGCATGTAATTCTGTAACATAACAATATCATATTCAAGCACACCATGTAACATTTTAGGCGAAATGTTCAAATTAAAACTATAAATTATTACACCCCTACCAGCCACATCATGCAGGCATTACTTTTGCTGGACCCTGTATTCTCTTGGTTGCTTCCTAGTAAGAGTCCAGTGGTACTCCATGTGTCTTCCCCAGACATTATGTACCTGTAAGTGGCCTACTTGCAAGCCCTCTGCATATTACATTTCTACAGTGGTTAATTGTCCTTGATGGGATAATTACAAAGGCTAAGAAATGTTGTATTATGGGTTATATTACCCTCAATACAACCAACATTTTCTCAGCCTTTATAATTTAGAAAAAAGGGTTTTCATATATCCCCAAATATAAAATGGTAAGTAATAAGTGAATATAATTTAATAGGTCTTTTATCCTGCCTTATGCAATTCTTCATTGACATGCATTTTTAAGAAGGCTGAGGAAGTGAATTAACTGACTCATTCAGAGTTGGACCCCAGATTAGTTCCCGTTGTACTAATGAAGTCAAATGGGCATAGTCCTTTAAATTTGTTTCGTTTTTGTCTATACACTTTAGCTGTACTCTGGTTTACTGGCTTAGTGTGATTCAAGGCCATAATATTTTAGAACTACAGTGCCCACTCTTTTTTTTTTTTTGATTAGTGAAGAAAAATGTAGGGTTTAACACACCCTTTTAATTTGTTTTTACATATTTTTAAGATTTAAAAGTGTTTAAACTTTGTAATTCCTAGTAGGCAAACACTATCTGAAAGAATACTGTAATGGCAAACCACTGTCAAATGTTGAGGGGTAGGGATTCTCCTCAACACACCCCAGCTTTCTTCATGAGAAAGTCAGAAGTACACTGGTTTGTATTATTGCGACATCCATTTGTTGATCCAAGTTGCTTTTCCTTCAGCAAGGGCTTTATCTGTCAGAAGGGCATTATGCTTGACCTTCAAATTTGGCTGACAACTTACTGATTAGATTCATAACCTTTGGATTGCTCTGATATTTGGACATATTTGCTGGGTTTTGAGCCATATCCTGGAAGGCCACCATAACTTCTGAATCCTGCATGGCTGGCTGCAAGAACCTCTGGATCACTGAGAATTTCATTGAGCCCAGGCATTCCTCCAGGAAAATTACCAGGCATTCCCCCAGGAAAGCCACCTGGAAAAGAGCCATACTGAGCTCCTGATTGTCCTCTGGCTTCTTCTTCCCTCTGGGCTCTCAGGTTCTTCCCAAGCCTTCTTAACCCTTTCTGTTCTTTCCGTGTCCTCTCACTCTTCATTTTTCTGCTCATACTTTCTTCGATATTCGGCGATTTTCTGGGCCCTTGGTTGAACTTCTTTCAGCATTGCATTAGCATTTCATCATGATCCAATCTACATGCAAGGGCAAGATTATGGGCTGCTTTTTCCCAATGGCCCAGAAGTCTGTGTGCTTTCTCTCACCATTTATAAGGCTGAGCTGAATCATGGTGTATTTCAATAGCTCTGTCACAATCTCGGATGGCAGCATTTGGCGTCTGTGATTTGATGAAGATACTGGTTCTCTTGGCATACAGAATGGCCAAGTGAGAATTCAACTTGATGGCATCTGTGAACAAGTCAGTGGCTTTCTGTAGTTCACCATCATTTAGGGCATCAGTGGCAGTCACTTTTTTATTGTTTGCCTGATCCATCATCTTGGTTATCTCTACATTTTCATCTCCCATTTCCTGAGGGGTATCAGTGTCTGTCTCAGTCGCACCCTCAATGACAATTTCTAGATAACTTTCCCCATTTGATAGTTCGTCAGTCTTTACGTCTTTCTCCACCTTCTTAATATCTGTTTTTTCTTCCTTGTTTTCTTCTGATTTGACTTTATAAGTAGCAGGTAGTATTTTATCTCCGTGCTTTCCACCTACTCCGTCAGGAAGTGCATTCCCTCAGCATGCAGAATGCTCAGATCCTGCCTGCTCATTTTCACGAAGGCCTGAAGCTCACTCACTTTGCAGGGATCCGTGGCCAGGAAAGTGGTGGGAGGCACGGCTAAGATTGCTAACTTGGAGTGACCATGTGGAACGGGCAGCTCTACAGTGCCCACTCTTAATTATTACTGCTATAAACTATATAAACAAATAAAGTTTTTTCCCACAGATTTCTATTATGTAGTTTTCTACATGAGTATGCTTGCTGATTGCATAGAAAATGGACACTTGCTAGACTTTATCTACTAAAAGCCATAGGCTTCTTCAAGCATTCATAGTAGACTTTGACTCTAGAAAAACTTCACAGTAAAAATAATGCAGTGACAGTAAAATACTATATGAAGAACATTTATTGATAGTTGCTTTTTTTATTTGTAAAGAAACAAAACTTTGTTTTTTGTCCCTTGTGTCATAATATACTTCTTGTAGAATATCTGATTTTGCTTTTTTTTTTCCTTCTGTGGTTATGTTACAGCTTTGCTTTGGAGGTAGATTTCATTTATTTATTTATTTATTTATTTATGCTTTAATTTGGTCTATTTCTGGATATGCATTTTCCAAAATACACACCACAAGTTAATAGCCTAGTAGGCTAAGTAAAAGTACAAGGTTTCTTTTACAGCAGGATATCATTTTTATCACTAATAAATGTAACAGCAATATGTTTGATTATTCTGTGGTACTAATTTCTCATTGCATACTATTTTGTCCTATGCTTTTGCTAAGATAGCAGTCCTATTTTTTTCTTGGGATTATACAAGATATTTGTAGATTTAAGTCATTTAAGAAAGTCCTCAGAGAGTGTAAAAAGGTAGAGAGGTCTGATTTTAATTGGTTGAAACTAAATCTTTTCTCCTCAGTTATTTAGCTTAAGAAAAGAAAATATCTCACATAACGTTTTTATGGGATTAAGAAAGAACTTAGAAAACACACAACTCTTTCTGGTTCTATGCCTATTGGGAATTTTGGGATAGTCTAACCATGAAGCATGTGTCCATAGGCCACTTACTGTGCACCCTGAGTCTTCAAACTAGGAAGTTTCATGTATCTTTGCTAAGAGACCCTGTCAGCTGGAAGAGCGTTGAGATCATTGTGAGCTCAGGAACTTGGGGCTCTGAGTGATGGTCCCTAAACCAAGAGACAAAACATAAGAGGAAAACAAAATAGAAACTTGTCCTGAAAGATTGAGAGAGTTTGCAAGAGATAAGTACATATTTTCCTTTGAAATTTAAAAAATTACTTGAGTGAACCTTACTATTGCTAATACACCTATGGTGGAACATTTAATGTTAAGAAAAACCCTAAGTTTTTAGGTAACATTAGAATAAGGACGAACTTTTAACCTTAAAAGCCCTTCAAAATTATCCACAGTTCCCTTTAAAATCAATGTATAGTATTGCCATTTACCAAGGTATGTTTCTTTAATTAAACTTGCTTTTTTTCCAGATCCCAGCATTCAAGATAGTAAGAAGACTCTGGAAATTGCTCTGTATCTATCTTTAAAATTTTTCAAAAAATTTTCCAGTTTCATTTTATAATGTATTAGAAAAAGTGGTTCCTGTATGTGTCTTTCTGTGTCTGTATATTTTTTAACCACTTGTAGGGTGAATATTGTTTGAGTCTATTTTAACCATTATAATTTCTCTGGGAATTAGTCTGTTTTATAATTTTTAGAGAACAGTTAAAGATTTCCTGATCTGGGTTCTAAAATCATGGTTTTAGCTCAACATGACATTTATTAACTTGGACCATTAAATTGGTTTTGAGTGAGTGACAGGCTATCAGTTTTTTAAAAAAATATTTACAGTTATCAGAGGGAGGATAGATGGAAAAACAGTAGAAAAGTAGTCCAGGATGTTTTAGATTGGATATCAATCAGATCAATATTTAAAAAGAAAAAAAGTCTTACTCATGCATTGAGATTAAAAACTGTTCCCATTGCCTGAAAAGAGCTCATGGAATTTTTTGCTAAGCCCTTTGCTTTTACCTCCCCACTTCTTCCTTTTTCTCCCTTTAAAGAATAAAATGTGAACTGAGTATGTCTGGCACTCTGACTTTGTTGCCAGACTAAAATTAGCCCACGGTGATCTGGCAACTAGAATATTTCAAGGGGAGGGAAATATTATGGTAAGTAGTCACACACCTCCCACTTAAATCTTTGTGGATCGAGTGGTCATACCTCCCGGTGTGCCTGGGAATAGTCTCACCTTACACATGTTACCTGTATGTAATGATCATAACTCTGGCTTGGGTCACAGATTTTTATGGCCCCTTTGTATTTTGACAAATGATCATCTCTGTCTACTTCAAATATCAGTCTCTAGGGTCAGCAAGGGATATTAACAGTATATGGAATAACTGTCCAGTTTTCTTCTCTTTCTGGAGACTCCTCTGAAGTTCTTCTTTGTGCTCTTAACGATAACTGGTTTTACATTTATTGATTTACATCTGCACTGTCCCTTCTGTACCTATTTCCATAACACATTTGGTGCCATTCTTAGGTTGGAGTTCAAATTGTGATAGTGAATAAATGACTTCAGCCCTGTGGTTGCAAAGCAGAATTAGTGGGGCCCTTTTGTAACCTGGCAAAAATTAAATTTCTGGGAAGTTGTTAGTATTTTCAGGGATGAAGGATTAAAACAGAGGATACAAGAAAGGGAAGGAAGAGAGGATTGGGCAGAAAGCAACAATTTTCTATAAAAATAATTGTGTTTTAATCTGTAATGTGTCATCGGGCACGGTGACTTAGTGGCATTTTGTGCTAGCTTGCCCTCCTTCTGTAAAATTTACTTCAGAAACAAAGGGTTTAACATAAGTAAAATTTTTGTTTTATTAAAATAGTAAATCTTAAGCAAATTTGAGTTCAGCTTTATATATTCTTACCTGCACATTATTTTATATGAATTGCATTATATTTGGAATATAAAATGATGCAAAAATGCATTTATATGCTGTTTTTCAATCATTGATGTTGATATTTTTAGTCAAGTTACTAATTGCTTCATTGGCAATGAGAAATTTCAAACCTGTGTAGTGCAACATGGAACCTGTTTAAACAGGCTGGTATAGTAATTCTATAATTTTTCTTTTACAGGTCATGTAATGTTTGCAGAAATAAAAATGGAGAATGGAAAGTCAAAAGGCTGTGGAACGGTCAGATTTGACTCCCCAGAATCAGCTGAAAAAGCCTGCAGAATAATGAATGGCATAAAAATCAGTGGCAGAGAAATCGATGTTCGCTTGGATCGTAATGCATAATTTCAAACCACGGTTGGAACATTCCTGTATCTGTTTCGCTGAATCTCCTAGTAAAAGTCATTTTAAAAGTAACACTGTATGCTTTAAAAAGCTGTAAATATGAACTTTTAAAACTTCCACCAGCTTTTAACAGTATAGTGTTAAATATACTGTGATTTTTGTTAATCTCAAGTTTGGGTTTTTAAAGACAGCAAGTCTGGTCATTCAGTTTAAATGAATGGTTATACTGTTTTTTAATAAAATAAGCCATTTTCTTGTTATTTTCAGTACTACATAGTGGGATTTGTTTGTTCAGGTTTCTCTAGCTTTTATCAACTTATTTATTGTTAGGTAAAGCATAGATTTTTTTTTAAACTTCTGTTATCTCTGTGTAATTGTTCTTGATAAGAAAGGACTCAAGACAAATTAAGATGTGATTTTGGTTGATTTTTAAATTAGTTTTATTTGATGGTAAAGAATTACTCTGAGTAAGTTTTAGAGTCTAAAGTTCAGGATTTTTTTATTTGACTTAAATGAAGAAATGGAGTACTCCTTCTCTGCCCCTTTCTGTCATTCACACTTCTACCTATCACTATTAACATTAACCTCCACAGCCACTTATTTTATTATCTCCAACAATTCCAAGTTCATATAGAACTGATAACGTAGCAAGCCCCAAGTATAATAATAGGCAGGCTAGGCCCAACTTTTTGTCTAGTTTCCAGCCATTGAAGTGAACTGATAAAAAAAGAAAAATAATTGAAACGTTGAGAGAGATGGTTATGTAAATTAGTCCTCTGCTGTTCACTTCTACAGGAGCTGATGTATTTATAAAGGCAGTTTTAATCAACCATGGAACACCTAGGCACAGCATGTCAAACACGTTCGACCCCACGATGTTAGACATAGCCATATCTCCTTTGCCTGCAAAAAAAACCCATGTGGTTAAAATGTGCATACCAATACTGTATTTTATTAATAAGCCTAAAAGACACTGGATACTGTTTTTGTTTGTTGGGTTTGGAAGATTGTATAAGAGCAAAAATCTTACTGAATTTGTATTTTGTAATTTTGTGAGTTTAGTATTTAAAGTATTAACATTTATTTATCTAATAGTTACCTCTATTAAACCATTTTTCAATAAGTTGTAGATCACTTCTTTTCATTCTGATTTAACCTGTTTAATTACAATTTAATGCTCATTCCAAATGAATTTTATTTGGGGAATTAGATATAATGAAATTAATCTGTTATTAAACAGTAAATCCTTCCTCTTGAGTTATTTTTTTTAAAGTATGTTACTGAGGAAATATTTTTAAAGGTAATTTTGCTTAGTGTTCAGCCAGGCCTGAAGAATGGGCATTGCAGCTTGAGGGATCTGATTCTTACCTTTTCTTGTGACCAACACACTTGCAATTGTGTCTGGTATGCTCGTTCCTGCTGCTAATAAAGTAAGGCCCATTATTGTATCTGGAATTTCCAGTGTTTCCCCTGTAAAAAACAGATATTATGAGTTACAGATCTCACAGGTTCACTAACCATTCTCTGCAGATATTTCAGGTATTTCCTTTGTAAATGAAAAGAAAATAGATGCATTTAGATTTTAGCTAACAAAATATTTGGAGAAGATTGGTAAATTGAGTAATATGGGTAGAACAGATATTTAACAGACAAAATTCTATCGAGGAGTAGTTCTCCTCTGCAGTGTGTTTACAGAAATTTTGGTTGTCATCACTGTTTTATATCATCAAGGCTGTGCTTAATGTATGCTAATGAAATTGGTCATTTTTTCTCTTTAAAAGCATTTTCTTAATGTACTCAGTGTTAAGCAAATTATTTATAGCTATTTTAAAATTTTAAATGTGTTACCATGGTATATATTTTTAAGTCCAACTTTAGTGATACACCTTACTTTCATGTTTTCTTTGAGAAAGTACCATAAATCTGAGGAAAACAAAATAGGGTTCTTCTTGAGTCTTTCTAACATCATAGTTCCAATTTATTAAGCTTCTGTTAAATTTGATGTCAGTTCCACATTTTTCAGAAACGTATTCATTTTAGGAAATAGAACCATTGGGAAGTTAAAAAAAGTACATGTAACTGTTTTATTGTTATAATTGAAAACTTGCTTTAAAGTCATTTTTCCTTTCTTTCCTTCAAGTAGCAATTAAAAAAACTTTTAGTCTGTTTATTGCATGCTTACATATATTGATAATTGTAATTGTAATTGATTGATAATTTTTGTTACTGATTGGCCAGAGTTCATATGTACATACATATAACACTAATATTTATCACTTTGGGGGGAGGCTCTATGATCTGTTACGTGATTTTGCTCTTTTCCTGTTTTCTTAATGTCAAATATGTTTTGGCTGAGAAAGTGTGGAGAGATTTACTTTGCAAACTAATTGGACTTTTTCATCTTCTTCATTAAAAAAAGAAAAAGAAATAATCTGCTTTTGGCTAGCATACTATTCTAAGTCATATATTAATTTGGGAAAAGTTGGAGATCAGCAAGCTTTTTTGTAAAGGGCCAGATAATAATTATTTTAGGCTTTGCAGACTATGGTCTCTGTGGCAATTCTTCAGCTCTGCCAATGTAGTATGAAAATATTCATAGGTTCGATGTAAGTAAATGGACCTCATTTAGCAAAAACAGGAGGCCCAGTGATTTGTGCATATAGGAGATTGTTTGCTCACCTCTGACACTAGTTCATTCAGGTTAACCTCTGGGGAGAAATTTCTGAATTTTTTGTTCTGTGTTTATATTCAGTTTTTCCTTCTGGACTAGGAGTACTATAGGACTAGAGCTGATTCCAGCCAAGCAGTAATAATTAAATCTCAGTCATGAAGGTAGTAGAAACCTAAAATGAAACTTTATTTTACATCCTTTTTACTCATTTCATAGTATGTTTGTATTGCCATAGTAATGAGCAAAGTAAAATGTATTCCAGTTAAACAGTGAGCACCCATCATTTTCCCAAAACACTGGCATCTTGCTATTTCTTTTTATTTTGTAATTGAACTCAATATAAAGGGTGAATTATGGACCCCCATACAGTGTGACTTAATTTTAGCCTAATAGAAAGCCATCCTGTGAATTTGATTTCATTTATAAGATGATCCCTTTATTGTATTCCTGGACTGTATAACTGTGAGACTATAGTTGATAAGTAATATGCAACTCACAAAACCTGGATGATTGTTAATATTAATATATAATTTAATTAAAACAGCATTGTTCTTCAGTAAGAACAATGGTAAACAACATTATTCTTCATTCTTTGCTGAAAAAGAAATTTTCTCCTTAGCTGGATTACCTTTAGTGAACATATGAAGTTCTTATATGAAACTGATTATTTTCTTTTAAAACTGTGCTCTTGTACTTAAGATACATACCAGTTATCGTGACCATCCAAACCAGGATATATGTAAATGCAGATATCCATAGTGCTGACATGAAAAAGGTTATCACAAAATAATTTTTCCAAAACTTCCTTCTACAATCTGGTGTGGTTAGAAAAAGTAATGTAATAATAGGAAGGGAGAGTACCCAAAAAACTCGTTTTAAATCTGCTTCAGGCATGTTGAAAATGCTTGGCGGATCTGTTGAGGAAAAATTAAATGGTTGTGAGTTTTCTCAAATGGCCAATTAAGTTAGAAATGTCCATTTAGAAAGCTGTATTGAAATAAATTAGCTGTATCAGGTTTAAAAGGCTATTTAAAACATTTGAATACCTCATTACTGATACTGCTGGCAAAAAAACTAATTGAGACGGTAGGGCAGACAGTGTAAAATGTGATACTCAGCATTTCTCAATTTGGGGCCTTAAACTCATAGTCACTAAAGGTGTTAGTGATAATGTTTAGGAAGCGTCAGTTGACATCTCTTGGTTTTCTACAATGTGGATGGTCTGTAGTAATTTTTTTTCCTTAGGGATTAACCTGGCTTCTACCTTCGCTATCTGGTTGCCTCCACTTCTCAAACTGATGATGCCACAGCCCGGCCCTCTGTATCAGATAGAGTATACTTAGGGATTATAAAATAATTAGAGCATAATTTTTATTAAGTTGAATATTCCAATCTAATTCTCATTGTAAGTGATTTTTGAGGGGCTTATTTCATTTTTTTATTACTAACTTCAGAATTCATAGTTCATAGAAAGAACCTTAAGAAAATAGGAACTAGTATAGAATGTACAATGTCATTTATAAAACTTGAGTATGTTCCTTATTCAATTTTTTTATGAAGTCAGTGGAAGACAATAGTAATATATTGGATAAAAATGATAATTCACTTAAAACTTGTCTAAAATTTGTATGGCATTTACAAAATAATATACCTATATATTTGATCAAATCACATTACAACTAGTGCTAGTAAAGTAACTCAAAAAATTTGCAAAGCCTCAGCCAATGGGCCATTAATATTAGATATAATTTTAGTGTAATAATTATAACATTTTTTAATCCTCACATGAGGACATTTTCATTTGCTTTTTTAGAGAGAGGAAGAGAAAGAAACATTGATGCAAGAGGAGTATTGATTGATTGCCTTTGTACGCACCTGGGACTGGGAACTGTACGTGTCAGGATGGGGGTTGCACATGCTGATGACAAACCCGCAACCTAGGCATGTGCCCTGACCAGGAATTGAACCCACAACCCTTCAGTTATGGGATGATGCTCCAACCACTGAGCCAACTGGCTAGGGCTGTTGTAATTTTGGACTGATTCTTTTGACTTGTTATAAAATTTGACTTAGAGATGTATAACTCTTTTACCTGAAATACTAGAAACTAATTAAAAGAGGAAAAATCATGTAATTTTTTAAGATAGTAAATTAGAATAAGTTCCCTTCCTAATGTACTAAATTAAATTTAGACTGTTTTATACAACCATTTTATAAAAAAAGTAACCCATACTTTCGTATTTCTGGCCATAATTGCATATGACTTTCTCCTAAACATTTGTACCTAAATGTTTTGCTACTGCTTCAAATGATATATTTAAAATTCAACTGTTTTTTTCCTTTTCTCATCAGCCGTTTTCCCTAAATTCCTAATTTTTGTAAGCAGTGTTCCATTTTCTTAGTCTATTATGGTCAAAGCTTCAGAATTTCTCTGTTCTCTTTTCTGGCTCCATATTGTCCTTTAATTGGGATGCTTTCTCTGCATTGTCTCACATCTGTTCTCTTTCATCCCCACTGCCTCCGCTCTGTGTAGTCATCTATTAAAACACATCAGCTGTTTCAGTGGCCTCTAACAGCCCTCCGTGTCCTTTAGCACATGTTTCAGTTCTAATGATTTACCTGCTCACAAACTTGCACAGACTCTTAAACACTTAAGTCTCTTCCTATCCTGTTCCTTTCTATCCATCTTCCCTCTGCTTTCTTACTGCGCACATTTTGCTCTCAGTTATGCTAGTACTTGAACAAGATAATATTTCCTTGGTGTCCATCTATGGAATATACTTTATTCTTACCTCTGCATCATTTACCTAATAAATACTTCAGTAGCTTTTAGTTACTGGTTTCAAATCAGGTCATCAATTAAAATTTCTATGCTACAAGGCTCAGTTTAAATGCTCCCATGTGTGATAGTCCTTTCTTTCTAACCATCCCCATCAAATTTTCAATAATCTATCCCATTTAGGAAACAGTTACACTTTCTTTAAGTACTTAAACCTTTATATTTTAGCTATTTTGGTGTTTAATTTTTCTTACAGTATTGGAAGCTTAAGGATATGGCCTAACTTCTTCATCTCTGAATCTCCAGTGTCTTTTATATAATAAGTGTATAATACTTGCTGAAGTGAGATGAGGCTAAGTTTCATTAGTGAATAGACTTTAATAGGGGGCAAGATGTGGTTATTACCTTCAGAAACCTGATTAAGACCATGCAAACTCATAGAAAGCTGGGAGTAACCAGAATCTTCATGAAATATTCCACTATCATTTCTTGACTGCCGCCGGATGAAGGGTTGACCCTCATCTTCCCAGCCCGTCAGTGATTGTTCGCTTCTCTCCATTGCTTTGGCAAGACGGGTGCAGCAAGGACTGCATTTCTTTATAATGTAGTGGTTAATTTTAATGTCAAAGCACAGCACCAAAACATATAATCCGTATATCAAAAGTAGTAAAGTTCCTTCATACCTATAAATTAGAGAAATTTGTGTGTGTGTGTGTTTTAATAAAAAATGAAAGTTATTTGAGAGGTAATAGTTTTTGGGCAGTACCTGCTTCATTTTTAATGCAATAGAACAATCAAATATTTCTAGATATATTTTGGTTTTGTGGATGTGTTATATAGCATTATTATAAATTTATTGATAGCATCTTTAATGTTTTTTCTATATTTAAAGAAACACAGATTGGAAAACTCACCTTCATTTATAGATTTCTTCAAGATAGTAGTCATAAAAATGCTTAGAAAATAATAATTACAGATTTTCAAAATTAAAGTGAAGCTAATGGATAGTAATGGGCATTCTTCATCTTTCAGTTCATTGGCAGAAACCATTCCCCAAAATACATAATTATAAAAGAATATAGTATGTGTTAGTTCATTTTACTGTGTTCAAATTTTTTAATACAAGAGCTTTCTATAAAACATTTGGAATATGTTAGGTTTTGGTTGGGGCTTTTCAGTTTCCTATACAAAGATTAAAATATAATATTAATGTAACTGAATTAGCAAGAAAATGAGATAAATCTCAAGAATAAAATTATACCTTAGGCACTGACAGCTCTATTTCCCTGAACTGTGGCTTCCTGTATAAAGAATACCATCACATTTGAACCGTGCATTTACCTTTTGTTTTATAGCTAGTGAATCTCTGCTACAGCCGAAAGCACACAGGTCTTGATTTCTCTCGTGGAGGGATACGCCCACAGTCATTGTGCCCTTACAGACAGTGCCTGTGTCCCAGAAAGACCCCAACTGTAACCAACAGTTTTTCTTTGGGAGACAGACTAGATTTTGGAATTATTTATCTTGCTCCCCACTAGATTTTACCTTTCTTGATAGCAGGTATTAAGCAGCACTGTTAAAGTCCAGGGGGAAGCCATTTATATTGTTTTTTTTTTTCCTTTCTGGTGTCCTTTGGCCATGTGTAAGTCACAACCTGTGCAGCTGTGGGTTTTATATTTGCTTATCCCTTATGATTCCTAGCATACTGATAAATACCTAATAGACACCTGGTGCGTATATACTGAAAAAGTTACCTGTCCACTATGCTATTCCCTTTTTTTATTGGAACATAAAAGTATAGGGATATTACAAAGAAAGCAAGCAATTTTTAACATTGAAACCTAAATGTTTTGGAGTCTTAGAGGAAGAATGCTATAGTTCCTCTTCCAAAATAATGTCAGAGAGAAAGTTGCAGGGATTCAAAGGGACTTGTACTTCCTCCATTATCATCCCTCTCCAGTCTGGTGACCATGACCACTCCTAACTGAGGTGAGGTGAATAACCCAATAGATGAAAGTGCCAACTGTTGGGACTTTAAGGGATAACAAAGTTGGGAGACTTTGTGAACAGTCAAGTCAGTGGAGAAGGAAGGAGGGTAACATCCAGTGATTATTAAGACAGAAAAAGGAGACTGATGAGAAAAAATTGCAAAGAAGGGAGAAAAATGCAACCAGCAATTGTGATGAGGAGCTTTAGCTCAGAGGCCCACTGGAAAATGGGGTGAACGTGGCAGATAACTGAGAAGTGACTGAAGTAACATTTTTTTGAAAGAGATGTTAATAAACCATTAGAATTTCATGAAGTCTCTGTAATTGTGTTTTACATAAGAGTAATGATTCCGTCGAGCTTACCAGTGCACTTGGTTGTCAAGTAGTGTACCAAGAACGGCCGCCGCACTGACCGCATACGCCACGCAGTCTCTGAGGAGGGGCCAACATGACAGCGGTGACACCTGTAAAGTGGCAATTTACCGTTTCTGTTACACTGTGACTTCCTGTGCAAGCTTAATGTAAGAAAATTGTTTGTATATTTGTAGCAAAATAGTATCTTTTGCATATTGCTTAGAGAAAAAGGAATTTTTAAGGAAAATTGTTTCTAAAACTCTGATTTTCATAAATTTGACCAAGAGCTATTTGTTGGTTAAGTTAAAATTGAGTACTTGCTGGTTTTTCTACTGATTAATAAATTTGATTGAACACATCCCTAGTGCCTTGTTAATGCTAAACTATAAACGGTTCTTTAATTTGTTGAGACAATAGGTTTTGTTGAATACATTTCTGGTACATACCACGTTAGATAGCAAGCCACAGGCAGCACTGATTCCAAGGAGATTATAAATTGCAGATCCAAGAATGGTGCTAATGCCAATATCTCCCTTTGTGATAAATACACCTATGAGCAAGATAGTAGGTGAGTTAGAGTTGATTTGAAATAGATAAAATCATAACAGGGTTAGCAAAAAATACAAGGTACAATATTTACCTAGGAAAGCAGTCACTAATTCAGGAGCTGAACTACCGGCTGCCATGAAAGTCGCGCCTGCAACGTCCTGAGACAATCCAAGGGCTGAAGACAAATGAGATTATGTTATGCCTGGGAAAGTGAAAGAGTGTGTCTTTGTAACTAAAACAGGTACTCAAAGCCACAGCTTCACAGAAAAGAACTAACACTGACTGCAACTGGAAAAGTAGAATATGTAGGTTAAGAAATAGAGGAATCCAGTGTCTTGCTTTCTTTATGACTTCACGATTTAAAGCTTCTGTAAAAATAGAGATGAGGTTGGAAGTATATTGAAACTACGCTGCAACTCTGTTCTGAGTGCAAAAATGGATGTTTTGGGATCCAGAAAAGGTTGCTTGCTTTTTGTAGGTGTGTAGCAACAGCATGACTTTTAAAAACTTTAATGCTCCCATAGGAGCTGAGAAAAATCAAGGGAATTCGGGAATCCTAATCCAACTTGAAAGAAGAGAAAAAGTGAATATTGGTAGTTTTTAAGATCTATAAATGAAGTGTATTAAGGCACACCTTCACAAATTGGCTATTTGAACCTTTTCTAAATACAAATCAGAGAAAATGAACTATAAACAAGATTGACTATTGTGTAATAATAGTGTTGGTTTAAATCACTGAGCCATGAAAAAACTGCTCTAGAGTAGGAAATTCAAGAAAATGCCACAATTCAAACTGTGTGGTACCACACAGTTTGTAATACCACATTCACAAGAATGCAAATCATTATCCTCAGTGATTGATGGGATGAGAATCTCAAAATTTTTTACCCCTTAAACTTTAGAGCTAAGGGGCCTACTATGGGAAGGAAAGAGGGAGCCACGTTGAAGAAACCATCCTGCTTTGGGAAGGCTGAGACAGCATCACATCGGAAACCCCCACGAGGCTTCATTGGTAGAATAAAAAAACAGCTGATGGAGGTAGCAGGGTGGGTGTTATTTACCCTAGGTCACAAAGTTAGGACTGAAATTCAGGTTTCCAAGGCTCTTGATAGCAATAGTTTGTTGATGTTTATTGTTTATTTTACCTATTGATTCTTGACACTTCAGTCTTCTGGGCCCTTTAAATTCTGGTGTGCTTGGTTGAGTCTCTGTCACTTGTGGTCAATTTTTCCTCATTCTTGCCTGTGGGGACCATTATATGTTGCTCGTTCTCCGGTCTTCCGCATGTTCTACTTCCCCGATGGGACATCTGCCCTTGACTTTACTGATTTTTTTTTCTTAGTGTGGCAGGTTGTATTTTACAAAAATGGCTACAATATTTCTGCCCACATGATTTCCCAGAACCTTTTATTCCGTATCAAAAAAGCGGGGTGGGGGGGGGCAGTTTATGTCTCTTCCTGGACCCAGATGAGCCTTTGTGACTGATGCTTTGACTAACAGGATATGGCAGTGCCACAATATTGGTAAGGCTAGGACAAAAGGTGAGCAACTTCCATGTGTTTTCTCTCTAAGAACATTTGCTTTAGAGCCATAAGCCTCCCATAAAATGTCTGACTTGAACCCCCATACTGGAGAGACTTCCTGAAGAGCCCGTAAAGAAGTAGAGACGCTTGAGGAACCCCTGCTGTTTTGAATCTCCCCATCCCAGGCACCTGCCATCCTAGGGAGGGGATTTCGGATGATCCCACCCTCTCCTCTGACCTTGAGCAAGAACCATCTAGCCGAACGCAGTTTGTTAAGGGGTGTTCTGTTAAGCATCCGTGGTTAATAGGAACTCCTGGCTATTGTTCATTTATTTGTTGCATTTACTAACAACCTACTATGTCAGATGCCTTTTCATGTGCATAGGAGTATGGCAGAATGTTTCTGTCCTTGTGGAGCTTTAATGCTAGTGGGAGAAAACAGGCAAGATAACACACCGTTATGTTAGAAATAGCAAGGAACACATTCACAGAGGGGGAATATGAAATTGCGTGATGGAAAGATTGTAATTTTAGACTGGGTTAGCAGAAAGGGCCTCACTAAGATATGGTGACTTAACAAAGACTTCGAAGGGAGGGAGCCAGCCATATGTATACGTGTGGTAAGAGTATTCCAGGCAGACGGAGTGCGTGCCAAGGTTCTGAGGTGGAAGCTAGCTCGTGTGTTCAAGAAACAGAAGGCCAGCTTGTCTGGAATTAAGTGTGTGAGGGGAAAGCAGTAGATGACAAAGTCAAAGGTAATAGGTGGCCAGATCATGTGAGGCCTTTTGGATCCTAGTAAGGACTTAGGTTTTTGCTGCTAAGCCTTGTGGACAGTGCTCTGAGGATAGCTGGGATGATCCGGTCCAGGCCCTCTGTCCTGTTCCTCACTCTTTGCCCTTGGTCATATCATTGGATAAACATCTACTTGCAGTGGCTAATGAATGGAGAGAAGTAATGATTTACAAAGGTGATATTTCATAGCATTTCTTTTACTGGTTAGAGTGATATATATCACTCCATGTAATATATGACAATTATATAATTTGAGATATAATTTATACATATATCAACTGACCATAAAGCAAAATAGAACAAGATGAAGATTATTACTCTGTGATTAACTTTTTTTCATTTGAGGTATGAAATACGTAATAAATTACACTGATGGTATGCAACTCACTCTCACAAAATTTATTAATTTCATCCATCCTCAAATATGAATGGTGCTATTTCCATTTTACAGATAAAGAAATAGGTTCAGGAGGTTAAGTAACTTGAGGTTACATGGATAGCAAGGATCTTAAATGTGAGAAGTTACTACATAAAGCCCAAGTATTGTATATTGGTTGCATATTAGTCCTAAGTCCAGTGCTATTTCAGTTTCATGACAGAAACCCAGTATAAGAATGGCAGTTAGGTGGGCCAGTTAGAACATGACTGAGTCACTATCTACTCTGCCTCATGGCACTGGCATATAAATGCCCCCAGTGCATTCCTTGGGGGAAACAGTAGTTACTGGGAGTCAGGGATACTTTGGAAATTTCCCAGCTTATTCCAGAGAACACATAAATTTATGAATATTGGATATTTTCATGAATTCTCAAATCAAATCAGGGCTAGATAATATATGGAGGAAATTGAGAAAGAACAAAATACTTTATCTTGAAGTTACTGTCCAAACTCGATGCAGCTGAAGAGTTAATGACGCATCTTTGTTTAGCTGAAGATGCTTCATTCGAGTTCAGTCTCAAGTGTGATCCAATGGGTTGCTGCCAGGTAGGGAAGTGGGGCGCCCTTTTGAACATTCTCACAGTCCGAGGGCAGTAACAGTAAAGCCTGTTGCTGTTCACGGGCTCTGACTGAGTTCTGAAAGGAAAGAACCCATATCAATGGATGTGTAAACCTTCAAAGATATTTTAACAAGTTATATCTTAAGGTTATAAGCATATTTCGTGAAAATGGTTTATACATCTGAACTTTAGAATAGACTGGTTTTGTGTTTGCTGACCTTTGGGTAGCATTTCTCTCTGCTATAGTTTATTATTAAAGATAAATTGTTTGGGTTTTTATTTTCCCTACAGCTATTACTTTCTTTCCTCTCTATTACTCTAAAGGAATCATCACATTTTCCATCAGGACAGAGTAGAAATGTCTAAGGTGAGTTTGCTTTATAAGTTTAGATATCATCACATTGTTTATATAAAGTACAACTTTATGATAATGAATGGATTACTAAAACTCATCACACTTTTTCTTAGGTGTGTTCTCTTCTAGGATGTTGGGAAATTTATAACAGATTTTTTAAAAAATCGACTTCTGGAAATACTGTAGGAACAGGTTTAAACTAAAATGGGGACCCAGATGCTGGCCCTGCCAGTAAGGCCCTTAATATTGAGGTTTTAGACAAGTTAGTTCAGGCAAGGCTTGCGCTTTGCCATCTGTAAAGTTGGGGGGAGGGGGTTGGACTACACAGTCTTTAAGGCATCTTCTAATTCTTTTATAAACTTTTACTCAAAATTTCAAGTATAGATTCTATACTCTAGACTCCGTACCAGTTTTCATATTAAATAATTTTTTTTACTGTAATCAAAGAAAAAAACCCTACATTTTTGAAAATTTAGGGGATAAAGGAAAATAGAGGGAGAGGAGTCACTTATACTCTCGCTGCTGTATTTAACCACAGCTATCATTTTAATGTGTTTCCAGTTCCTTTCAGATTTTAATGGAGTTAACAACTATAGACTGTATGTAACTGGGTATCCTCTGGCATGATTTTTAAATGTCCTCAACAATTGCAAATTTTCCTGTTTTGTGAATGAATTCAAATTTTGGAAGCAATCAAAAGTCACTCAGACCCAACTCTAGTGACTGGGGTGGGTAGTCATGCTGAGTAATTCTATTTAGGGTACAGAATGAAGTGTGACAGCAAACCAAAGTTTTTTATGCTTTGCAAAACTTGGTCTGACATTAATTTCAAATTTTTTTAGAAAATTTTGAGCAAATTTAACATCATTGGAATGAATGCCTGCCTCTTCGTGCACATCTGCATGTGTACGCTCTGTGAGCACATTTACTGTTCTGAACAATAAATAAAAACATTTTGAGAGCTTTATAGTCACCACCTTATATTTTATGTGAGCTGTGATGGAATAGTTCTGAAGCCTTGTACAATGGTTTTAAATGCTTGATTCCACTGAAAAAAGGACCCTGCTAACCCCCAACCTAATAGCTGTACTATTACAACGAATGTCCACCTGCCCTAAGCCTGTTACATAATGCCTGTGCAAGGCATTTCTCACAATTACCTGAGTTTAAACTCCATAATTTGCCAAGGTCACATAGTAATTGTAGAGGTGGGATGGGCACAAAGATCATTTTTGTTTTAAAAAGCTGCCCTCTCAGTTGTCCATGTAGGTAAAGTGAGGAGATGAATACATAACTTTATCATCATCATCACTTGTTCCTGTAGTAGCATCTTTATAATATCCAGACAAGTTGATGCTTATTTAGATCCCTGCACCTGGGGTAGATTTAGATGCAACCCAAGGTGGCCACAATTTAGAGCAGAGAGAGAGGACCAACGAAGAGGATGAAAGTGCCCTCAGGAGGAGGATGAGTGCCAGCGTGGCAGGGAAGAGGCACTGTTCCTCGAGTCTTTGTTCTTTGGGGCGGCTCTGCCTCAGTAAATTTCATGAGGATTAAGAATCAAACGCTCCCTGAAACTGTAGGCCAGCCAAATGCCATACTCACAGAAGTACTTGACTCCTTTTCAATTTTATCAATTTAGAACCAAATCTACCTGGAATTAAAACTTGCATTCCTTTCTTATTTTCTATTTCTGAAATATAAAGTAGAACATGGGTAAATGTTAGTTCAAAGCAGAGTGAATAAGCAAAACTTTAAATACAAAAGTAAATATTGAATTATGTTTCTCCATACCTTATTAAGATCATGTTCACTTGAGATGTGTTATTCCTCAAAGGATCAGTATGGTAGAGGGGTTAGAATTTCTAATAGAATGGTGTAACATTTAAAATGAGCAGAAAGGAAAAAGGACTCATGGATGACAACAGTGTGGTGATTGCTGGGGGGCGGTAGGTATAAGGGGACTAAATGCTAATGGAAAATATTACAATAAAAATTAAATAAAAAAATAAAATGAAAAGTTTCAGAGGAAAGAGATTTCAATAAAGGCTGCTCTGAACAATGTTTAACTAATTCTAAGAGGTCCCCATTACCAATCAAAAAATATGTAAAAAGGATTTTTTTGGCTTTATACTGAACTTTTGTGTTTCTAAAAATGAACTGCACACACACACACACACACACACACACACACACACACACTCCAGAGAGTATCCGCCCAAGTACCTGACTAGAGCAGCATAGCTGATGGGAATGAGGGAGCTCTCCTTAATCATTTTCCTTACCCCACTACCCTCAGCTCTAACTTCTCTCAGGTAATATTCCCACTCCGATGACACCTTTTAACCCTTTCCTGAACCCCTGACCACCCTCCCACCACAGAAACCAGGTTTTATTTGCAAAAGTAAAATGCCCTAGACAGCTAGAGTGTGACTTTTTAAAATTTCCTCTAATTGGATTAATTTCACTTCAGCCTTCTGTGCTCAAAAAATCATTAGCCTCCTTTTCTATAGAATATAAATGGACAAAAAAGCAATAGGACTAGAGGAAGGGCATAAAGCAATACCATTTTGTTAGGATGACAGTGCAATGTCTCAGGCTGTGTAACACAGGTATGTGCTTGCTTTTCCAGGGTCGAGTCGGGGAAGAGAGGTTGTGTGCCTTTTATGATTATGAGTAGAACAAGGAAGGAAAGATCCTTGCTGGAAGCCTCAGGTCATGGCAGCCCTGGGGGAAATTGCCATTCTAGCATACACAGCTACAGACAAAGAGCACTTATTTGCCTGAGCTGGTGCCAGGCCAGGATGTCAGCAAGAGGCTCTGCCCTCCACTTCCTCCGTCCCCTGCATAGAGATCCCACTCCTGAGCCTCTTCTAGCCTTCATCTTGCTGAGGCCCCTTCTGCTGGTGATTTGAAGAAGAGTAATGGGGTGATAGGGCCAGGGTGGGCCAGGAGCCTGCCAATTCTACAATTGTATTGTAGGTTGGGACACTTAACATGTATGGCAAAGAAAGTCATTGCATCATACCTGATTATTTGATATACTATATTCTCATGTACATCCTCCACACAGTGTAGACCTCAGAGTTTCATTATTGTGGACAAATGTTTATTACATTAGTTTACAACCTCCAATAGGTTGCTAAAAGACTAAGCTTACTTTTTAAGTGGATTGTCTTCATTTTGTAGTATATTTCCTTTATCATCATTGTGGGTAGTGGTTAGGATTTTGGTGGGGGGGGGTCAAAATTTTCAGTGTCCTTGGGAAGAAAACATGTTTTAAGATTGTTCATATAAAAAAGTTTTTCTGAAATAATCATGTTACAGCAACTACTGTCAAACAAGGATGTGTAAAATTATATAGCAATTGAGAACATTCTTGCGTTTTGGCAGTAGAGAGACCAGGGCTTTGCTGTACACTGACTGTGAAGCCTTGAAAAATTACATATCTTCTCAGACTCAGTTTTCTCTTGAGGAAAACCGTCTGACAGTCTCTACTTCATGATATTTTTTGAAGACTAAATAAAACCATATATATGTAATTTAGAACCCTGCTTTGTCTTCTCTAATTGTTTTTAAGATAACTAACAAATGAATAAGTAAATAACACTTCAGTACTCTGTGGAATGCTTCAGTAAACTGTTTTGAAATGATATTTATCAGTTGACAGGATGGGTGGAACTATAGTAACTCAGTGCTCATCAAGCAACTATGGAGAAGTAGAAAGCATTTGCAGACTTTTCTGTGGATATAAATAAATTCCAAGGAGACTGTTTTTTATTGCTTATGTTCTCATTTGGATGAGGCCATGCTAGACCTTCCTTGAAAAGAGAAATGATGGTATTAATTGACAGACATTTAAAAATGAATTGAGCTTGCACTATTTCTATCTCACTTTGTTGCCAGTATTTTCAGTACTCAAGACCGGGGTCAATTCTCAGTGGCTGAGGAAGACTTGGCAGTGGCGTGACATCCATCAGTCACGCATCTATAACAGCTATGGTGTTCCGTTTCAGAGTCAAGGGCAGTGCACTTGAGAAGTGCGTGTTGTCGGTGATGTTTCAGAGTAATTCCACAAGGGGCACGGTAGAAGTGATTGCTATGGATATGCTGTGAAGTCACTTAGTGAGGATTGTTTTTAAGTAGCAATCTAAACTTTAATGTAGTGGTGTCTTTCTGCAGGGTTGGACAAATTATTTATTTACAACTCCAGAGGCAATTTTTTAATAAACATTTTTGATGGGTTTATTTTTTCAGCCAAGTCATTGTTTGGAAATGTGAAAGCAAAACATTTTTTTAAAAGTGATTATTTTACTTTCCTGAAAGAGAAAGATTCTAGGTGGGATTGCATACCTTGAATTTTCTTGGATTTATATAATTAACATGATCTATTTTAGGTTTTCTATTTGAAAGTATGGTTCTTCCCACAAGGATGAACAAATAAGATTGCTACAAATAAGATTAACAAATAAGGATGAAAAAATAAGATTACTACAACAGAGTTGAGAGTATAGAAATAGATCCACACATATATATATATAAGAATTTAGTATATAAAGATTGATCAAATTTTGAGAAAAAGCCATTGTATCCTATAGCAAAACTAATTCTTACAGGATGAAATAAATAAATGTAAAAAAAACTATAAGTAAATAAAATATGACAATTTTTCTGACCTAGGGATAAAAAAGTCCAAGTATAAAACCAAAAGGAGAATCATAAACTATCTATAAATTTACTTAAAACATGTAAAATTTCAATGTGATAAATAGACAAAATACAAAAGAAAAAATGAAAAATATATTATAAAAAGGGTTAATGTCTCTATATTTTAAAAATATATTATAAAAAGGGTTAATGTCCCTATATTTTAAATCTCCAAAGTCTTGGAGATCAATAAGATAAATACAAATTATACCCACCCACCCCATTAGAACATGGGCAATAAGACACAAAAGAAAAAAATAAAATTCCAATAAAATTATATAAAGTTCAACTTCACAAACACAGTAAAAGATAAACCAAAATTTTATCAAATGAAGTTCCATTTTTAAAGCACTTGACAAAGACATTTAGAATGATATTGTTCGTGGTTTTGTGGAATGGAAGCTACCACGCATTCTGGAGGTTGAAGTTCATTCACCCTTTGTGACATGCTTTTGACAATGTGTAAGAAAAGCTTAAAATATGCACAGCTCCGCATCTTTATCAGGATGTGATCAGAAAAGTTTGCAAAGATTTTATACTAGTGGAGGCATAAAATTATTTAAAACAAACAAAATTAAAAAACAAATAAAACATCTCATTAAATGAATAACTTAAAAAGTTATAAATTTCTCTATGGTGCCTACTATGTATATAAAATCAGATTTAGGTTCTCCAATCATTTACAGAATCCTAAACTGTCATGCTAATGTTAAAAATCATGCTTCTGAAGAGCATTTAATAATATGGGAAAGTGTACACAATATTATATGATAAAAAAGAAAAGCCCTTAAACTCTATCGGTAGCAAGATCCAAAAGACTGAAAGCACATACACCAAATGGGAACTGGGAGCCTCTGGGTGGTGGAAATGCAAAACAACATCAGCGTAAAAATGTACACGTTTACATCTACTTCAGTTAAATGATAATTATAATAAACTTATGCTGACTTAGTCTATAATATTGTCATTGTTAAATGTGTTGAATGTCCCCACTATCGCCAGGCCTTGTATTAGGTCCCAAGGATACTGCTATACTGTAGTGAACAAAAGAGAAGAAAACCTGACTTGCATTTCAGCGGGGCAGGGGACTGGGGCCATGGATAAAGGAGAGTTTGTGTTCCTGCTCTTCCCCTCAGTGAAGAAATGCTAGCTGTTTGGGTGGGGCGGGGGATGCTGTTTCTGTCCAATAGGCAACCTAACCCTTAATTTTGACTTCCTCTGAGGTGAGCCTACTCAAATAATGAAACTAACCAAGTAGGATGCTCCTACTTGGCATTTTTGACTATGAGGCATAAAACACCATTAATATCTTGATTTTAGGGACCAGGGCACCAGTGAAAGACCTGTTCTTAGAATCCTGGGTGATGTCCATGATTGAAGGGATACAACCAATGGACTTGAACCAGTAGATCATGTTTTCAGAAACTGCTAAGTGAGCTTAATTTCTAATCATGAAATGCTGCAACCAGTTGAGAGGTGGTTGTGCTGAGCTATTTCAGAGATAGTCCTCTATGTGTGTGGCACAGCTATTCTGGAAGGCCACAGCAGAGATTTCCAGCCACTTACATTCACTGATGATTTCCAAGGAGGGTAGGAAGTACTCGTCACAGACAATAGACACGGCCATGAACATGTAAAGGATAATTAGGAAGTAGATTACGATGCCTCCATCTGCACGCTCCTGTTTTGTGAAGAACCCTTCCGGAAACTCCGATGATGGAGAAATAACACACTGGGTGCTATTTCCTGGTAAGGAAAAGGTGGTGAAAATTTGAAGGATGTTGGAGTCACACTTTCCAAGCCCACACCAGGAAATTGCTTAAGAAAACTGTAAAGTGGGGGGTTTCTGGGTGGCATTTTAAGAACCCTGGTGAAATTGTATAAAGCAATTTTGAATATGATGTAGTTGTGGATTCTCAAAAAAAAAAAAAAAAGATTAGTCTTTGGGGGACCTGAAAGAGGTACTTGAATGAAGCAAGTTGATGATAGTAGAAGAATTAAAAAGAGGAAGACATGAAACCACTCTTCCCTGTCTGCTTAATTTCTAAAGGGGAATTCTGAACCCCTCTTTCTCCTCCAGGGGAAACTATATGCCTAATTATAAAGATTTCTGATATCTGCACAATTTCATTTTCCCATTTCAGAGCCCAAGTTGTTCACAGGCCAGCAAAGAATCATCTACTGTGGGTAGAGTGAATTTCTCGGATGAAAGATTTTTTTCATGAAGTCTCCAACAATAAAAACTGGAGGCTCTCCTGCTTCATGATACCTATGAATTATATCGGTGCTGTCTTTGAGAACTTATTTGAGGGATCAAAAATGTTTCAAATCCTTCCAAATGCTAAAAATCAGAGCAAATACAGAAGAAAGCATAAGCAAAAGAGTCAAATGAGAATTTCCCTTTCTTTGTCCCTTCATCTACATGTGGCAGTGGCAGCAGCAGCAGCAGGGGTAGCTGACCCCAGTGTCCACCTACCTGTGGCCCTTGGGACACGCTGGGGCAGGGAAGCGCCTGGGAGAGGCAGGTGTGCAGTAGCCCAGAGGATGCCAAGGAGCAGGGCCCTCCTCGTCCACCGTGGACCCCCTTTTGTCTGCATTTCTGCTGTGCTCTTAACTTCAGTGTGTAGCTTGAGGAAGAGAGGAAAGGAGGATTAAGCAGGATCATGTGAGGAGTCTCTTTCCTGCCCAATGCCCTGCCCAGGGCACATTTCAGCAAGGCCAGCACAGGAGGGAGGGTGATTAGAGCCAGCCAAGCTTCTCTGATCAGGAGTCCCAAGCCCCAGAGAGGCTAGAAGAGGCAGAAGGAAAGCAGGCAATCCTTATCTACAGCTGCTCTGTGCCCCAGTCCCTGAAGGTAGATCCTGGAGGCTTGCATGTTATGGGGTCATTTTATTTAACACCTTCATATGGGCTCTGCCTTCCTCTTTCTCTAGATTTGTAAGGATCTGAGTTTTGCACCCACTTCCACTTCTCTCCAGCTCCTGCTTCTAGGTATTGTTGGGACTGGTGTATGTGTATTCTTTGGCTGGCTTGGTGGTACCTTCTGTACTTCTGTTTTTGCCATTCATCCTTATCTCCAATTAGGGCAGGAGGCAGGAAGGTGACTTTGGTGGAGGGATGATAGTGGCTTGAATCCAAGCAGCAGTAATGGGGATGGAGAAGAATTGACAGCTCTAAGAGCTATTAAGGAGACAGAGTGGATGCCATTTGATCATTGATTGGCTGTGCTCTCTGCCAGAATTGTTATCTAAAGTGCAAATTCAACAAGGCAACGAGTGTTCAAACAGAAACCATTATCTTCCATTCCCTATCATTTACTGGGCTTGCCAAGGAGTTAAGAACTTGTGGCAGTGTTATAGGCTCTGTTGCCAGGCCACTTGGTTTGAGTCCTAGCATTGCTACTTTCTAGCTATGTGACCTTGATCAGGTTATTTAACCTCTGTGCTCCCCGGTCCTACTAGTTGTAAAATGGGAATGCTACAGTACTACCTCTATTTGGGTTGTGATGAGGACTACATAAATGAATGCATGCAATCTGCTCAGAACAGCCTCTTCCACATGGTCAATGTTATCTCTCTATCATTGATCTATTATCATCATCATCATCATCATCATCATCATCATAATCATTTATTATATAACTCTTGATTGAGGTAGAAGCTTCTTGGACTTAAAGCAATTTTATAGCTTTGCAACTCTCGTAGATTCTTTGCTTTGCAGAAAAAGAAGATGCCTGTTAACTTTTAGATTTAGAAACTGAGTTTTTCTGGAAAAGAGTTGCTTCTGGATGTTTGTGATCTCAGTTGGGGTAAAAATTCTCAAACACCCTTTAGTTTTGCTGGGAATTGGTACCCACTATAAACCACTCTGAAACTGTCATTTCATGGAACTGGCTTTCCAGATGGGTGGTGTGGTTATGAGGCTGGGATGATGAGTCAGTGAAGTGTAGCTCAGTTACAGAGAGTATTCTCTGCAAGCAGAGTGCCTGATGCCGACACCCGCAGGAGCAGGCAACCTGGACCACTAGACAATGGTTTGGTACCAGCAGTGGCTAAGACCAGGAGAAGAGGCCACTTCCTTTTGTGCTGAGTGGAGGTGTTTCATGAGCTTTTTTTCTCGAAAATATAGTAGTTCAATCAATTAATAAAGCTAAATGTTATAAACAAACAACACAAAAACTCAAACCCATGGTGAATACTTCAAATACCTGATGTTAATCTAGGAAACAGAGGAAGTATTTGAATATATAATCCAATTGCAATGGGACAGCAATGTCTTGCACAAAGTAGATTCTTAATAAACATTTGTTAACTGATTACATTGTAGTGATCTTTAAAAATATATTCCAAGAACAAACATGCACTTGCTCTGATTAACTATGTAATAAAATAAGGATTTGCCAAGAAAAGAAAATTTAGGAAGTTAATTGGATTTGCTTTGTACATTTATTCTTCTTATTGCAAAATGATCTTAAAAAGCTTCTTATTGTAAAATAAAACATAAAGAAAACCATACAAAATAACTGTAGTGTATTGCTATATTATTATCTTTGTTATTTTTCTATGATAAACACCTCAGGTTAAGAAATGGAATGTTGTCAGCCACTTCAGAAATCCATTCCTGTTCCTCAATCTCAGCTCCTCCTTTCCTCTGAAAATGACCTGACTCCTGACTTTCATAGGAATCATTTCGTGTGTGTATTTTTAATAGTTTATCGCCCATCTCCAGTTGGATATATCCTTAGAATAGTATAGTTTAGCCTTAAAAAAAAAGCTTTTTAAGTCTCTTATAGTATATAGGTTTCCCCTCCTTCCTTTTTTTTTTCCTTATAATTTATCTGTTGGAAAAACCCGGCTGGGTCACTTAATCTGTAGAGTTTCCCAGTTTGGTTGATTTTGTCCTATAGTATAGCGTGATGTGTTCTTCTGTTTTCTGTATTTTTGTTAACTGGCAGCTGGATGCAGAAGTCTGATCACTCTCAGTTCTGTCCCTCTGGCAAGACTATAGGCAGAGGTATGATCTCTCCTCAGAAGCACACACTATCTGCTTATCTCTCTTCTTGTGACATTAGCAGCTTTTCATGCTCACTACTTTAATATGTTCATTCTTTAGAGGTTACAAAAGGGTGATATTCTAATTCTGTAATTCCTTCTTCATTCATTACTGGGGATATTTTACAATGGTATGATTTCTATCATCTACTCTTTGAGTATCCAGGGATACCCAGTTTATATAGAAATGATAAAATACATGCTGGATTCTTTTTCTTTATCAGTTCTCATTATTATTGAGAATAATAAATTCTCAATTTATTATTGAGAATAAATGTATTTCTTCTAAATATAATTAGTTAGATTTTTAAAATTATTATAAATTAATATATTTAAATATATTTGATATGTTCCAATTGCAATTATCTTGTTTGAAGCTCTGATTGTCTCTTCTTTAGCTAATGCAAGCTTCTTCAGGTTGTTTTCTGAAGGCCTTTGACATGATCTTAGTAGGGTTTGCTAGTTTCTTCACTACTTGATATGGAAAGATGTTCCAGATTCATCTTACACATAAAACCAGCCATTTATACAAAATGCCTCTTTGTTGTTTTAAGTGGAAAGTGTATCAAGACCGCGATCACAGAATCTGGGCTCCTAGGGACGCTCACTGCTATTAGGTTGCTTCCATTATCTGAAGGGGTGCTCTTCTGCCTCTTTGTGTCTTTTATTCCTACAACTTTGTGTAGGACTTGACCTCCACACCTTTCTTTTCCTCACTTCTGTGTGAAATTATTTTTCCTGAATTTTTAGAAGAAGGTGTTTTTCAGTATAGCTTTTCTCAGTTCACAGAGATCCCTCTTTTGTTGTTTTCTTATAGTGAGTGTTACTGGCTCTGTCCTCAACTCCTACTTTCACTGGGAACTTCTCTTTCCCTTTCTCTCTGTTGTCTCCATCCTGCTTAGCTTTTATTCCATGAGCAGCAGTTTCAAAACTCTATGCATTGGCCTCAACCTGGAAGGGAGCCCTGGTTAATCAATTTTTAAGGTTCATACACATCAGACCTTATTGTGACCCCTGGTACTGTCTAACTGTTCAACTGTGCCAAACCTTTTTTAGTTTTAACTTCTATTCTCAGATTTTTTATGTCTTCCCCCTGCTTTCTCCCACATGCATGGAGATACACATGCATGGAGATACCATGCATGTTTTATGTCATGAGAGTGGCTTGTCCCCATGTACTTGTATTTGGGGTTCATGGAGATAGCTTGACACAATTTTATTTAAAATGTTGCCCTGGCTGGTGTGTCTTAGTGGTTGAGTGCTGGCCTGCGAATCAAAGGGTTGCTGGTTCAATTCCCAGTCTAGGGCACATGTCTGGGTTGTAGGCCAGGTCCCTGGTGGGGGGTGAGTGAGAGATAACCACACGTCAATGTTTCTCTCACTCTCTTTCTCTCTCCCTTCTCCTCTCTAAAAAACAAATACATTAAATCTTTAAAAAAAATAAAAAATATATAAAATGCTGTCCATGGGTCTTTGGGTTTGCTATCTAGTTGTTTTGTCTGTTTCTACGTGGAAATTTGGAAAGATTGCAAAACCATGCCACTCCTGTCTCCATCTTGAAAAAAGCTTTTTGCTTTCAACCAAAGGGATTTATGGTTCTATTCTTATAATTAGAAATTTCTTCTAGTACATTGAACAAATGCTTTACTTTACAAAGATTCTCTTTACATACAATCAGTAGGAAACTCATCTGTTACGTAAAGTTGCACAGAGCTAAACTGTTAGGTAGCTTCATGCCGAACAATAAAACATCACTTCACTTCCTGGGGCTTCCTTGTTCTTATTTGTAAAATGTTAAGGGCTAGGCTAGATATGATTCTAAGATAAAGTCTTAATTTTTCTCCCTACTGGCACCATATTAAACATTATTCAACTCTAAGTGGTTGTTTGTACTGAAAATGAAAATTAAAATAAACAAATAGAGAAGTTTCAGAACATCTCTTTAAATGGCCAACTAAACTCATCTATTAACATAGAGTGCAAAGGTGGTTATGAAGCCATGATCAAGTAATAGGTTGGCGGTCATTTTTTTTTAAAGAAGAACACTATCAGAATTAACTTCAGTTCTTCCTTGCTCACTGACAACTTTCAGGTTAATAGTTTTCTCCTAGATAGCTGGACCTCTGCTGGGTTAGACAGCACCTATTATGCTTGGGAATCGAAGCTAACAATTAGGTGTTTGCAAAACTGGAGGTGTTCATGTGCACCATTCAGTGCAATTATCCCATCAATCCTAGAGGATGCAGGAGTGGTTCTCACTGGCTGCACAATAGAAGTACTCAGTGGCTTTTAAAATTGCTGAGGATTTGGCAATTAACCAAAACAGTTGAATCAAAATCTATGTGGGAGGCTCGGGCATGGATATTTAAAAAGTTTTCCAGGTAATTCTAGGAAGGCTGAAAACTACTGGGGTGGCTATTACTGCTCCTTCTGTAATAGATTGAGTCAATTGCCTAAGATCTAATAAGGTTACATTGTTCTCAACTAGGTAGGAAAGCCAGCGTGGAAACAAAGGTCTGTCTAATGCCAAAGTGTGTGAATGTCCT